AAAAATGATTACTGATTACAAAAAAAAAAAAAGGTCACTGTTTCAAACTACATTAATATTATTTATTATTCAAATCATAGAGTGAGGAAGTACTTTCTCAAAATTCCGTGTACAATACAATTGTATAGATTTCTTGGTCCACAAACTTTCTACTAAATTAAGCATAATAAGGTGGTACTTTTTGAAGTAGTACTCATTGCAGAAACCAGTTTTGGTTTAAAATCTTATTGAAATGAAATTCCCCAAGTTATCTTGCCTTCTCTGTTTTTTTTTTTTTTCTTTACTGATTTTAGAGAGAGAAGAAGAGAGAGAGAAACATCGATGAGAGAGAACATTGATTGACCACCTCCTGCATGCCCCCCACTGGGGATCAGGCCCACAACCTGGGCATGTGCCCTGACCGGGAATCAAACCAGCGACCTCTTGGTGCAGGGGTCAACGCTCAACCACTGAGCCACACCGGCCAGGCCATCCTGCCTGCTTTTGATTTAGACGTCTACTTCACTAAGACTCAGATGTTTAGGCAAACATACCAAGAAAATGTGGCACCCCGAAATAATTACATCTGTTAATACGTCTTCTTAGAACGTGAGGCAGAGCGAATGCCTTCGTGAATGATAAACAGGAAAGAATATCAATTACAGGGGAAATGTTTCTACATTTTGTTCTTTTGTAGGGACACACTAGATCACGGGGCATGATGTTACAATTTGAACACTTGAAGAATTGTGCTGAATCCTTTCTTTTTCCAAACCTTGTGATAATAGGATGGGATTTGGGTTTATAGTTTTCAAAGCACTTTTATATAATAATGCATGAACCTTCAATGAAAATTCAATATATTTTGACTAATGGTCATGAGAGGCTTTTACTCATTAATAATAAAAGATTTTTCAAAGTACTCTCCTGAACAGATTAGTCAATATCATCTCAGAGAAACCATTCCAACACAGAAATGGTATTGTCATCAGCCCCAGTAGTCTAGGTGTTCGCTTTCCCCATACTTTATAGCACTGTTTGTACTCAGTTTTGTACAGATAGGACACACATATGTGTATCTGGGGGTACTGAAGGTTTCTAACTCTGTGGCCTGTCCCAGTCTGCCCTGTTTCGATCACTAGCCCACGTGTCTCCTTCCTTAGTCCACGCTGCACAACATCGGGGGGCAGTAGGAAGACCACCCCAGCCCCGGGAGTCAGGGTTCTCTGGACAAGATGAGAGAAAGGCGTTATATTGCTTCCTTTCTGCCTCCGGTGACAACTTGGGGAGGAATTCTGCCTAAGACTGTAAATGGAGTTTTAATAATGAGTTTTCTTTCTTTACAAAATATATTCTACTGATTTAAAAGAGAGAGAAATGGAGAGGGAGGGGGGGGAGAGGAAGAGAGAGAGAGAGAGAGAGAGAGAGAGAGAGAGACCGATCAGTTGTCTCCTGCATGCACCCGGACCTGGGATTCAGCCGGCACCTGGGCATGTGCCCCGACCAGGACTAGAACAGGTGACCTTTCTGTACACAGGATGACCTTCAGCCAGCTGAGCCACACAGGCACACAGGCCAGGGCAGAAGGTTTTATATAATAATTTTAATTTGAAAGCGTCTGCCAGTTATTTGTCTAAAAGTGGTAATAGCTGTGTTCTCTGGAAACTTATAATGATGGGTCTACTCTATTAAAGCATCAGTGGGCACAGGCCAGGGCCTAGGTGACAAACTTTGCCTATAACAGACCAGATTAACAAGTATTTTAGGTTTCAAAGGACATCTGGTCTCCCTCATGACTACTCACTTCCGTCATTGTCATGCAAAAAGCAGCCATCATACACAGGTGTGGCTGTGCGCAAATAAAACTTTAGGTTCCCATAAAACTTTATTTACAAAGGTGGTGGGTCAGATTTGGCCTATGGACCCTGGTTTACAATGCCTGAGCTAGAAATAAGCAGAGAAAGAAAGGAGAATTGAAATACCTCTGTCTAGTAATGCAAAGTTCAACTCCATTATGGATCTGGGGCATTTTAGCAGATTATATTATCATTATTATGAGTATTACTGGTGAGAGTTTCTTGTTTTACCTTAGGAGGGGGGGAGATATTAACAGAAGGGAGCTGAATGAAGGCACTCTTCGGAGAACTGTGGGCAGATTTAAGGGATCCATAACGGGATGGTAAATGACCTGTGAACTGGGAACCCCAGAAAGTCATTACCCCTTTATTAGGGGAAGACATGGTCTGCAGGAGCCTAATCAGAACTAGACTGTGGAAGAGGGGTATCCCATGGTGAGGTCACTGAAGAACACAGGCATTTCTGCAACTATGAAGAAACAGGGTCAGTGATGCCCTGGCCCCATCTCCTTGCGTCCTGACTCTAGCTGGTGCCTCCCGCTGGCGGACTCTGATCGGAAGACAGAGGACAGGGACGCCCAGTTGGTGCCGCCCCTGCCAATCAGTTTGTCAAGGCACACAGAAGGAAAGAAAAAGGCAGAACACAAACGAGGAGGACTGAGTGGCTGTGTTCTGCTCAGGAATCACCACCGGTGACTGTAGCATTACAGGACGACGAGGAAGCATCAGCTATTTTTTAGTGTATCGAGGCATAATTAAAACACAATAAAGCGCATGTACTTCAGTGTACAATTTGGTAAGTTCTGGCATACGTATACATCCTGAAAACCAGGCACTATCACGAAGGCATCCCTCCCATGAGCCCTTTCCTGGTGCCCCTTTGTAATTCCCTTCCATACATTTCCAGCTCACCCCCAGAAAACCGCCGCTCCAACTGCTTTCTACGCGAAGGACTGGGTTAGATTTTCCAGAATTTTATATAAATGGAGTCACACACTATGTACTGTTTTCTGTTTGGCTTCCTATACTTAGTATAATTACTTTGACACTCATCCAGGTTCTTGTGCATTGAAGTCATTCATTCCTTATTTTATCTGAGAAGGAGTCTACTGTAGGGAACATATTTGTATATTCATTAATCTCATGCTGAACACGTGGGTTTCGTCTGCTTCCTGGCTATTACAAGTAATGCTGCTATAAATATTTGTGTGAGAGTTTTCGTAGGGACGTATAGAGGATTGAATGGTGGTCCCCAAAAGATACGTCCAAGTCCTAATTTCTGGAATCTGTGATTGTGACCTTACTTGGAAATGGAAGTTTTGCAGATGTAAATAAGTTAGGGATCTTGATAGATGATCATCCTGGATGAAGGGGGGCCCATACTACCCAAGGCCTGGATGACAGAAAGGACGGGAATGATTGATACCCAGAGAAGGTGAAGGCCACATGAAGAATGACTCAGACATTCGAGTGAGGAGTCTACAGTCTAGGGGGTAAAGAGCATCTCAGAATGATGATAAAGAAGCCATGTCATTAAGACATCAGAATCAAAATCATTTGTGCAACTAATAACTGAATTTAAAACACCGGTTTTCCGAAGGAAAAAAACTGTTAGACCTGAAGGAAGAAGACACATCCACAACTATAGACAGATGTTTCAATACCCCTCTTACAATGACAGATAGATGGAAAATCTGTAAAGCTATAGATTTGAGTAACACTGTCGACCAGCATAACTGGTTGGTCCGAACGTTCCCCTCAACAACAGCAAAATGCACATTCTTTTCAGTTGCTCCCAGGGCATTTAAGAAGATAGGCCTTATCCTGGGTCCCTGGCCGCAATACATTTTTTTAAATGTAGGTTATACAGATTGTGCCCTGGGGCTTGTTTTTGTCTTGGTTGTTAAGACCCTACTTCACAACAACAGCAGCAACAGCACCCTGCTTGGGAAGAGTAGGGATGAGATGGTAAACGTGGCACCTGGTCCCAACAAGACCCAGACCCAGTTTAAGCCTGGCTGCCCCTTAAAACCCGCCCCACAGCCTGGGGCAGGACACCCTGGGGCAGGACACCCTGGGGCAGGACACCCTGGGGCAGGACACCCTGGGGCCTTGCCTCCGCACTGCAAGTCAAGATCCCCCTTCCCGGGCAGGTGCCTCGGCCTCCGCCTCCGCGCGCTGGGGACACGAACAGGACTGAAGAGGGTCAGCGGACCTGCGTGCTCGGTAAGCGCTGCACAGCTTTAAAGCCCCCCCCCCCCCATTTTCAGCGCTCTGAAACCACAGGGTGAGCCCCGACATGCCTCCAGGGTGTCCGCAGATTCCATTCCATTTTGAAAATGACATGTATTTTAATAAACACTGGCTTAATAATTACTCCAAGTCGCCTGTACGTTTTGTGGGGACACCCCACATTACAACGGGGCACCGGCCGCTCCTCGTGCACGTGGCTCTGCGGCACCTCCTAAGCCGAGGGGCCGGGACAGCGGGGGACCCCGCCCGGCTCCGGCTCCGGCGGCAGATCCCGCGCGCAGGGGAGGATCGGGACGGGGAGGGAGCAGGGAGGGGAGCAGGGAGGGAACAGGGACCGACACGCCCGGCTCCGGGCCGGGTTCAGGCTGCAGATCCCGCGCGCAGGGAAGGGCCGGGACGGGGAGGGAGCAGGGAGGGCGCGGGGAGGGGAGCAGGGAGGGCGCAGGGAGGGAGCAGGGACCGACCCGCCCGGCTCCGGGCCGGGCTCCGGCGGCAGATCCCGCGCGCAGGGGAGGGCCGGGACGGGGAGGGAGCGGGGAGGGCGCAGGGAGGGCGCGGGGAGGGCGCGGGGAGGGAGCAGGCTCGGACCCGCCCGAGCACGTCCCGGGGGTGCGCGGCCGCGGCCGGAGGCTCCGCCCCGGCTCTTCCTTCCAGCCTCGGCGGCCGCAGCGGGCGAAGGCGGCGCGCGGCGCAATTTTGTCCCCAGTGGCGACCGCTCCTCCCGAGGCGGCGGCAGCCGAGCGCCCGAAGAGGCCCGGCCGCCCTGCCGGAGCCCGGGAGCTGGGGGAGGCCCCGCCGCCCTCCCGCCCTCCGGCCGCCGCCCCGCGGGCCCTGCAGCGGCCGCCGGGGGCCCCGGGCGCGGAGGGCGGGCGCCCCGGAGCCGGAGCCGGAGCCGGAGCCGGAGCGCGGGCCATGGCGGGCGGGCACTGCGGCGGGGGCCCCGCGGCCGGCAGCGGCGAGATCGTGCAGCTCAACGTGGGGGGCACCAGGTGGGTCGGCCGAGCGGCCTGCGGGGGCCCGGGCCCGGGGGTCGCGGGCGGGCTGGGGACGGGCCGGGGCCGGGGCCTCCTGGCGGAGCGGCTGCGGGGGGCGGGCCCGGGGCCTCTGGAGCCCGAGAGCTGGGCCGCACCTGGCGGAGCTGCCGCCTGCGGGAGCCCCTCCGCCCCGTCCCTGCCCCGTCCCCAGGCACCTGGCCTGCAGCGCGGGGGCTCCTGCAGGGGAACCACCTCCCTCCTGCTTTGGGCCGCGGGGGCGCTCCTTGCCCCAGGCCCGCGACCTCCGGGGTGCAGGGGGTGCACACGTGCACACGCTCGGGCTCTCGGTGCGGCTCCGCAGGCCCTGGGACTCCGGGCGACGCGGCCAGAAAGTGCACTTTGCAGAGTTGGCCCTGGGAAGCTGTGTGCATCGGTGCCCCGTGGGGGTGGGGGTGTCGCCCTCGTGGAAAACACGCACACCTCTGGCCTCTGTCCGGTCCCCTCTCCCCTTCTCGGCCTTTTACTGAGCTTGTTGGGGGAAAAACATCTTTTGTGTGTGTGAATTGACGATGGCTTATGAGTCAGCCCTCAGAAATGGGCGTCTGCCAACTCTTCCAGGCACAGGGAGTTGAGGTTGAGGGTTGGAGGAGTGTTTTGAGACATAGCGAGTTTTTCTGTGCTCGAATATTTTAAATAATCTTTTAAAAATGCACATCGGAAACAATGTGAGCTATAGTGATAAAAATGTAGAGTGTTTTAATAATAAACGTTCAGCAGTTTTCTAAGTGCATTGGAGACGTTAGCACAAGAAACAGTAATTCATTTGTCCCCTGCACACCAAACAAAACTGTTCAATAGTTGAGAAATGACAGCGTTATTGTCACTGTGTAGATACCAGTCTTAAGGAAGAGAAGATTTGCTCCCTCGTGTAAGAAGTGGATATTTTTCTGAAAACTGGGAAAACTGTGCAGCTTTGGAAACCAGTGCGAGAATGGAAAACCACACCCCCAACAGGAAGGGTGCTTAGACTCTTTCCTTGAGTTACTCTGAATCAGAGACTCTCACAAAGAACTAGAAGTCATCCGTATCTGGTGCAAAACACAGATGAACATAGTCACTTCAGTCACTGTCAAAGAAAACCCTGCTGCGGTTGCCATCAAGTTGAGGGATTGCACTTGCCCCTGGGAGACCCATCCGAGGACAGAACAGAATTGAAGTGGCAGAATAAGACTTTAGTGAGATTATAGAAATAACCGATTTTTATGATTGATTGAACTTTGGGGGTGGTTCAGAAAGAGACGATGAGGTTTCATTTAGAATTATTAATGTTATCTACCAAAAAAAGAAAAACCCCGAGCAAACACTAATGAAGCCAAAGAAACCTAATATGACTCAATTTGTGAGTAAGTCTAGTAGAATGTGTATGACTTGAGGCCTCCCGAGAGAGGTCTGGGACCAGCCATGGGGGGCTCATGGACAGAGCTTTGGAGTGACAGAGATGAATTCCATTTCCCAGGCTTTATTTACCTCTAACTAGCTCAGCAACCCTGGGCAGATCATTTTTTTCAGTGCTCGGTTTCCTAAAATGTGAAGTGACAATAACGGCCAGCCTTAGAGAGTTGCAAAAGGAATTTGAAGTCATAAATGGGAAAGTCAGGAGTTATTGGCATAACCGATAGCATCATTGTAGAATAAAGTATTGTAATGAGATGGCTTCCAAATTAATTTAGTAGGAGGCAGGTAGCACAGAGTATTAGTGCGGGTATGCTGATACCTTCACTGATGCTTTTGTTGAGACCAGCTTACACGTGGCCCTTCGGTTGGCACACTGTGGGTGTGAGATAAAAACGTAGAAAATCTTTTCATCTACGTTGTAGAGAAGTATGCTTGGCACATAATTTTCAGTGCCGTGGTGTTCATGAAGTCCTATTTGGAACCAGTTTCAGAGTTCTGAGTTGTTTTTCCCCTCCTAACTCTTGTTTAGGGGATAAAGTCAGCAGGGGTTGGGGTCTCCATCCCTTGGTCCAGAGATCCCAGCTTGCTTAAACTCACCCCAAACTGATGATTATAACCGAAATTGTTCATATGACTTGAAGCAGACCTGTGGAATTTTGTAAGTAACACGGAATTTGAGTTACGTGGCAGGCGTCTGAGTAAGCAGCCGTGAATGTGGACGGCCAGCGACCCTCACGTGGAATGAATGTGGTGTGCTCCGGGACGTGGTGGTTCGGTTCTGCAGTGGACCCGTGGACTTCCCTTTACCCCTGACTGGGTTTGCTTCTCTTGACTTGACTAAGTCATGCTCTGTGGTTCGTGCAGTCTGCTGCTCATTGTTTCTCACGAGTCTGCTAAGACACTCTGGGTCCTCTGCCATGGCTCCTTAAATCAGATGAAGGGCTCAGGGGCCGCCGTAAAGGGGAGGTGCCTTAGGCCCCTGTGGGGGACACAGGGCGATGTGGGCAGAGTGAAATGAAAGGCACGTATGTTACTGCGTGAGCCCTAGATTTCGGTTTTGGTCATGTTACTTGACAATCAGTTACTGATCTTTTGTCCCAGGCTGGTTACCACTGTGCTTTGGTAAAGTCCCCTATCCTGGTGGTAATAATAAGTACACCTGACCAAATATCAGCTAACCTCAAAACAAGGATGTATTTACCGAGTGACTTTTTTTTTTAATGAATGAATACAACAATTGAAAATAGCCTAAGAGTGCAAATTAAGAAAGTGTTAAATGCATAATGTACAGTGGAATTACTGTGAGCTCATAATACAGGATAGACTTTTTGGAAAATCCATTAAAAAGAAGATAAAGATGGATGGGACTTGGATCATTGAACAGGGCAAGAGCTCCCTAGCTGGGGTACATTAAAAACAAACAAAAAACCTGAAATGGTCATGAGCGTGGATTTGGAGGATATTAAGTTAGAAGGAAACATGGTTTATGTTGGAGAGATGAAACAGGAGCTGAAGATTATGTGGAGAAGTTTAGATTTGGAATGATGGGTAGATTGTTGATTCTTCAGCAGATGGGCATGCTGGGAAGTTGTGATTTAGGGAAGCATATGTCAATGAGTTAATTATTTTTGTTGAGAGCTCTTTGAATAATCTTAACTCTGAATGGAAAGAAATTTAAAATATTAAATGTGATTAATATCATTGATAGCTTTACAACAACTTGTAAGCCACTGGCCAGCTTATTAGAGCAAGTTAACTAATATTGGAATTTCAAATCGTGTGCCACTCATTTATATAATATTACGTAATTTTCAATTGCAGATTTAGTACCTCAAAACAGACTCTTATGTGGATTCCAGATTCCTTTTTTTCCAGGTATTTCACATACTTCTTTAATACCATTTTTAATATACGTAGTTTATCAAAATAGTAAACATTTTCCTTGTCTTTTAAATTAATATCTTTATTTCTTGAATAAAAAATATTTTACAGTAGGAAAAAAAAATTTTGTTTTTGTTTTGTACTAAATGAAGTTTCCTTCTTCGCCACAGAAGAAAAAGATTTTTGTTTGTTTTTATTTTACTTTGGAGATAAGATGACTCATTTGGATTGGTCATGGACATTTGAAAACGAATTAGGACATTTAGTCATACTCAGATTTTAAAAACTAACTCGCTGGTTGTTAATGACTTCTAGTTTGCTGAGTGGAAGAATTTCAACACTTCGAGATGAAACTGGTGCTGTAAGTACAATAATGTACCAAATATGTATCCGAATTAGATTAATGCTTATACTGCTTGATTCTTGTTATAGAATGACTCTTAGAAGACAGCTAATATTTTAATAACTACTAAATGAAAGTGACATGTGTGCTTAAAGGTTATTATTTTGTCACATGTAGAGTGTTTCTATATTTATGGAAGATAAATCTAAACAGGAAATACTACATAAAGCAATTAAATGTTCGTGATGAGAGACACTGTAGGATATGAGCTTACATTGTCAATAGAGAAAGTACGTTTAATCAGTAATGAAAACTTGAACAGTAAATAGATTAATATAAATGCTAAAATACTTTGATATTGAATTAGAATGGTGTAAGACGCTGTAAATTAGTAAAGTGCTACAGTTTTTATTTTGGAAAATAGCCTTATGAAGTACAGGGTCGGTGGAATGAGGGAAATGAGGAACTGTTACGTGTCGGTACAAAAGAAATCGATGCACATTTGAAAGCAGAAAGGCGGCAGGGTGACACAGGCGCCCATTGGCTTTGATGACATTGGCTTTGGTGACATAATGCAGCAGAAGCAGCCATGCCTGCTCCAGATAAGAGAGACAGCAGTAATAAGATCTCCACACATCTGTTGTGTTTCTGCAACTTCTGACTGGTTCTGATAAAAAGAAAAGCAAAAATGTATAAAGGTAGAAGAATTTCACTCATTGAATATACATAATTGATCACAGTGAAAAGAGTTTTTCTACCCTTCCCCTAATTAACTTCCGTAAGCGTTAAAAGATGTTCAGTTTGATGGTTAGAGCTTTTGTAATGGATTCAAAATAGCGTTGGTGCACATTCCTGTAAAAAGTCACCCATTATGGATTTTATACATTAAGTATATTGTTACGTCAATGGTTCATGTATAAGCCACAGATTATGTAAGTCACAATCACTGCCACCAATGATTACCAACCAGGCACTATAAGAAAGTATTATTTATGCATAATATTTTCAAAGTACTTATTGAATTCTAGAAAGTTTCGGATAGAAACGTCCCCTCGGGTGGCAGTTTTACCAAAGATCAATAAAGACATGAGAGAGCCGCCTTGTTAGACACCATTTTCCTACATATTAAAATGCCATCGATTTAATAGTAGCTGTTTTGGGGTGGGGGACACGGCCACGTTAAACGCACACAGTTGTGACTGTGTTCCAGGGAAATACAGCATTTCAGTAATTCAGTCTTTGATGCCTAGGTTAGTGTTACAGATATTCAAGCTAGAAGGTGCTGTTATACTTGGAAAATAAAACAGTTTGTCCTTTGCAGATATTTATTGATAGAGATCCGGCTGCATTCGCACCCATTTTAAATTTTCTTCGGACAAAAGAATTAGACTTAAGGTAAGAAGAGCATCCTTTTAAACTCTTAATGGATGGGTATGCTTTTGGTAAATTTTATGAGTATGTGTCTTTTTGTTGGTTTGTGTATTTTTAACAATACGATTTTGCTCAAAGTTTTCTCAGAATCACTTCGGCCTTGGCCATCTAGCAGCTTCCTGACCAGTGCTCCTAGCGTTTCGTGCATCCCTACAATTCATTTCCCACACTGTCTTCTAAAAACGTAACTCTCGCCCTGGCCGGTTCGGCTCAGTGGTTTCAGTGGCCCAGAGAGTCCTGGGTTCTGTTCCCGCTAAGGGCATGTATCTCGGTTGCAGTTTGTCCCTGGCCCCGGTTGGGGTCGTGTTGGTGGCAGCCACTTAATGTGTCTCTCTCATCACATCAATGTTTCTCTCTCTTTCTTCCTCCCTCTCTCCCTCCCACTCTATCTGAAGATAAGTGCAAAAATGTCCTCAGGTGAGGATAAAAAATAAATTTAAAACAATGTAACTCTCCTCTGGTTACCGTGCTCCTCAAAAGGTCTGTTTACTATGCTGCTGGCTTCATGGCTAAGGGTTTTGGTGTTTTGATCCTGTCTCTTGGGCGCTCTGTAATCCACCCTGCTTACTGTCTCTGGCTTCGACGCCTTCATCCTTTTCTGGCCTTGGTGTCGTCCTGACTTCTTCCCTGGTCTCTCGTGTCCACCTGCCACCCCCATGGTGTTCATTACCCTTCCTCCTTTTCCTGGAGTCTGTCTCCTTAGACTCTAAATTCCGTAAGGGCAGGCCCTGCTGTCTCTGCATCCGTAGGATCCAGTGGTGCTTGGCTCGGAGTTAGAGGCTCAGGATATGGGGCAGGGGTCGCAGATAAACGAATGGTCGCTCAAACCATTACTTCAGCTTTGCCATTGTCTGGATTCTTACCGGGGAGCTATAGTCTAATTTGTATTTTACTGTTCTTTTATTTCATAAATTCCTAGTGAACTTTCAGTAAGAGTTTATTAATGTTTTATAGATACAGCTTTTAAAATTCCAGTTGTTTATTTGGGCTACTGCTCTATAACATTATCTCATGTTTGGCTTACAGTCTCGGGACTGTGAGCTCCTCCAAGGCAGAGAGAGATTCTTCTCTTTTGGTCAATTCTGGGCTATATTCCCACTGTTCAAACATGCGTGCGGACATTTTTGAGGCTGTTTGTTTGGTTTTGGGCCTGGGATTGGGTAGAAGTGGGACATATATTACTAAGTACTTACTTCTTTATAAAAGTCAAATTATGTTGACCCATAGCATTTGATTAAAGAAGCCTACACGTACTGCCAGTCCGTGTCCTCGGGACTAATCCACAACTAGTTAACCCGTGGAAGGCAGAATTAGTTTAGATATCTGTATTACTGACTGTTTTCCTTATAACGTGCTGGCTCATTTCATTCAGTGAGTGAAATTTTGTTTTCATCCTAGGGTACTAAAACATCCCCATCAGGATCATGAAACCTTTCCTGAGGCTGGTCCCTTTTTTACCTACTTTCCGCTTTGCTTGCATGTGGGGTTTCCGATGACGTCATTTATCTGAGTTTATTCATCAACAAATGCTTATCGCATAGTAATTGTGCACAAGTGCCCTGCAGGGCCCCTGCCTGCAGGGAGTGTAGCACTGGGGAGGGGCCGTGTATGAAAACGACTGGTAGAGTTAAAATCCGTTGATGCCACAGGAGAACGAGGTCCCCTCGTGTCAGCCTACGCGGCCCTGGCCGATTGGCCTGTCCCAACGCCCTGAAGCCCTGACCTCTCATTCAGTCGCCCGTTGTCCGTGGGGATAGTGTGTAAGAGCAGGTTTTTGCTGGGGTGCCGTTTTTTTATTTCGACGTTTTCAAATGGTTAAGCTATTAGGAGAAGGGACATTTTAAAGCCTTGTGCTTCTGTTCCCGTTAAGCACCGACTACTTTCTCCTTGAGCTTGAGATGCGAATCCGAGTGGCCACTGTTTGCGGCCTTACATCCTGTTCCTTTGCAGGGGGGTGAACATCAATGTCCTCAGGCACGAGGCCGAGTTCTACGGAATCACCCCACTAGGTACGTCCTGGTGTTTGTACGTAGTTTGACCCTCTGCGCACCAACTCCCCAAATGAAATGTGTCTTCTGTGAGACCCAGTCTTTGCTGGGCTAGGTCACTGTTTACCTTTCCGTGGGTTTTCCTCGCGAGGACGTGCGATCGGCTGGTTTGACTTAAACGTGTCCCCTTCCCCCCGTGTCTTCCCCACCTGGAGAAAGTGCAAGCAGCGCTGCCTCCGTGTGCGTGCCGTGTGCGTGTGCGTGCCGTCCGCGTGTGCGTGCCATCTCCGTGTGCGTGCCGTGTGCGTGTGTGTGCCGTCCGCGTGTGCGTGCCATCTCCGTGTGCGTGCCGTGTGCGTGTGCGTGCCGTCCGCGTGTGCGTGCCATCTCCGTGTGCGTGCCGTGTGCGTGTGTGTGCCGTCCGCGTCCCCGTGTGCGTGCGCGTGCAGTCCGGGTGTGCGTGCCGTCTCCGTGTGCGTGCCGTCCGCGTGTGTGGGCTGTCTCCCTGTATGTGCCGTCCCCGCGTGCGTGCCCTGTGCCTGCCGTCCCCGAGTGCGTGCCCTGTGCGTGCCGTCCCCGCGTGCGTGCCCTGTGCATGCCATCCCCGCGTGCGTGCCCTGTGCGTGCCATCCCCGCGTGCGTGCCGTCCCCGAGTGCGTGCGCTGTACGTGCCATCCCCGAGTGCGTGCCCTGTGCCTGCCATCCCCGAGTGCGTGCCCTGTGCGTGCCGTCCCCGCGTGCGTGCCCTGTGCATGCCATCCCCGAGTGCGTGCCCTGTGCGTGCCATCCCCGCGTGCGTGCCGTCCCCGAGTGCGTGCGCTGTACGTGCCATCCCCGAGTGCGTGCCCTGTGCCTGCCATCCCCGAGTGCGTGCCCTGTGCGTGCCGTCCCCGCGTGCGTGCCGTCCCCGCGTGCGTGCCCTGTGCCTGCCGTCCCCGAGTGCGTGCCCTGTACGTGCCATCCCCGAGTGCGTGCCCTGTGCGTGCCGTCCCCGCGTGCGTGCCCTGTGCGTGCCGTCTCCCTGTACGTGCCGTCCCCGTGTGCGTGCCGTCCCCGCGTGCGTGCACTGACCGCTCGCTCTGCGTTTTCAGTGAGGCGGCTGCTCCTGTGCGAAGAGCTGGAGCGCTCGTCCTGCGGCAGCGTCCTCTTCCACGGCTACCTGCCCCCGCCAGGTACTGTGCTCGGTCTCCCGAAGTCCTCCCTTGTCCCGACCTGCAGGCGGAGCGGCGTCCAGCCAGCCGGTCTGTACACGTGCGACCGGGAAGCGAGGAGAGCTACGCGCGGTTCCTGACTCTCATTGAAGAATCTTAGGTCACAGCGCACCTTAGAGCGGAGGGGGTGGGGTCCACTGTCACGGCCACGCGGGCCTGTGAGCGAGCAGAGCAGCTCTGGCCGCCACACACTCTGCCCCGTGGCTCGGCCATTGACTGCCATGCCGCTGGCCACACACTGGCCAGCCGCTGGCCCACGCACTCCGCAGGAAGGAATGCAGGCCCTGGTCAGTACAGCTTCATTTACGTAAATAGTGTTGGGCCTGCTCGGGCTGTGGGCCCGTCTGCCGACCCGTCCCTGAGAGCGTGGCTGTCGGTCTCCTACCGGGTGGAGCCCAGGAGCCCTGCAGAGGCCGGTCAGTGTCCAGGACAGGGGCGGGTGAGGTACACGCCCTCTCCCACCTTCACCTGTGTGACCGCAGGCTCTGGCAGGGTTTCATTCCAGTAAAGACCCTCCTGCCAAATAGAAGAGGCTAGAAAGTCTGGGGCAGTTCAGACGTAGAACAGGCGGGATCAGCGCACGGTACCTAATAGCTGGCCAGTGTGCGTGGAGACTGGCGACTGGCTGAGGGGCTGGTGGTTGAATTCAGGAACCTGAGCGAGGGGCAGCGGCCGTGATCGACAAACCTTCACTGTGCATATCTAACACAGTAGAGAAGTAGATTTGTCCAGTTTTATTTTCCATTTTTATCCTGTTGTTTTATATGGGAAGCAAGTTACTTGTAATAAGTCGCTATATTGGGAGATATACACACACGTTTGTGTTTGTTATAATATAACTTTTAAATGGTCTTAGGTGAACTTAGAAATAAATGCGTCTTCCTTCCTTCCGTAGGTATTCCCAGTCGCACAGTGAACAGCACAAGCAGACCGGCTGCCGAGCCTCGGCGTGGCCTGGGCCCCACAGAAGGCGACGCCCGGGGAAGCAGTGCCCAGCCCGCTCTGTCCGGGTCTGGAGAGGAGACTGTCAGGCTGGGTGAGCTGAGAAAACACACACATTCTTACTTCCGGCTGACCCTGAGTGTTTATAAAGATGTAATGTTTGCCTCATTTTGCTGCTTAATTCAGATTTATCATTTATATCCTAATGTGTCCTTTAACATACTTTTTATTTAAAAGTATGTAACGTTCATTCTCTCTCAGTCGGGTTGCCCAACCACGTGAAGGGCCAGAGAGCGAATGTTTCAGGCTTCGTGGGCCACACAGGCCGTTGGAACCAGCTCTGCCTTGGTGACGTGGAAGCAGCCGTGGACGACACGGGAACACACGCGTGTGGCTGTGTTCCCGCAAGACTGTATCAGGACAGGTGGACGACTGGGGCGGGCCCGTGCCTTAGGGATAAAATGTGTCCTTTCCTAAATCCACAGGCTTCCCCGTGGACGACACGGGAACACACGCGTGTGGCTGTGTTCCCGCAAGACTGTATCAGGACAGGTGGACGACTGGGGCGGGCCCGTGCCTTAGGGATAAAATGTGTCCTTTCCTAAATCCACAGGCTTTCCCGTGGACCCACGCAAGGTGCTCATAGTCGCGGGCCACCACAACTGGATCGTGGCCGCCTACGCCCACTTCGCTGTGTGCTACAGGTACCGCGAGTCCCGAGGCTCACCTGGCTGGCTGTTGGGGGTCGTTTCGGGAACCGTGGTTTCATACTTACAGATCGAAGCGCTGTTTCTTCCAGCCTCAGATGTTTCCCTGGTGTTTACTCCTGTGTCTCTTGATTAGACTGAGCTTGCTCTGCTTTCATAGCTAACTTGGTAAATACTGCTGGTAGCCTCACGTCTTACACATTTCCCAGACAGTGTGAACTGTGATGTGATTGAGATACCTTGAAGTCATTCTTTCTTGCTTATTATATATCCAGCTTCTGACTCATTTAACTATTTATCACATGACCAGGCAGGGTTATTAGTCCAGCTTCTTGATTTGCTGTCTGTAATGTTTTGGTCCTTGTACGCGGAGGGGCGTGGAGCAGGGCCCTGCCCTGGTCGTGCTGGGCCCACGGCTGGGAGTGAGGTGGAGAGACGGGCAGTGGAGGCAGAAGGGTTGTCGTTTACGTCCGGTGTGTGAGACTGGCGAGGGGGGGCTTGGTTTCCACTAATCCTCGATTCTCAGAAACTGAAAAGGAATGAGGAACAGTCTAGACCAGTGATTTGTTTTCTTTGTTTTAATTGGAGAAAGGAGAGGATCTTGGTTCACAGTCGCTGTTGCAGTGAGGAATGTCGATGACAGAATGAATCACAGAACAGTTAGATATAGTAGCTTAGACTGGATACCATTTAATTTAAGTGCTGAAAAATCAATGTGTGTGTGTATATATGTGTGTGTATATATACGTGTGTGTGTATAGTCACTGTTTTATTTTGTTGAGAAGAAATAGTCAACATAGATTGAAAATACTTAAAATGTCTTCTGAAGGTTACAGGTACGTTCGAAAGAAACCCAAATGCAGTATTTTATAATCTCAGATGGACAGGTCTGCACATGTGGTAAAGAAGCCTTTTCTGCTGTGGTCTCTAGCTGATGTTCTCATTGCAACAGAAGTTCAGCAGAGACTCTCCATTTTGAGAGCATCTGTGCTTGATTCTCAGTGTTTGTCGGTTTTTAGAGTTTATTGAATAATTGCTTCCATTTGTTCATCTAACATGCGGATCCTGTCTGGTGGCAGAGTAGGGTAATTACAGTTTTCTATGTGTTGCTTTGAAGTTAATTAAGGAAATCATTAATTCTTGACATTAACAAGAAGGCTCAATTTTTGGTGAGCTATAGATGTATTATTTTAGTATACATTTTAAAGCAAAAATGAAACTGAAGTGATTTTTTGTCTGGGTCCTTAGGTGACCACCCTTTAAATACTGGAGTTTGATCTTTGGATGAATATGTCAGGTTGCAGGTAAAGGAACACTTTTCTTCGTGTTCTGTTTGTTCTCTGGGTGAGGCAGAAAGAAGCTTTGTAATCTTGTTTCATCTGTTCAGTGTCACTTTGAAGTGAGGTGTCCAGAGCGGAAGCTCGGGTCACTCACTGTCCTGACTGCCTGGCGCGTAGGTCTCAGGGTGTGACGGCCTCCTGTGCAGCCACACGGGGTCTGTGTCTGAAAGAGTCAAGGTGGGGAAGGAAAAGGTATCAAACATTCACAGGTATGTGTACCGGAAATTAAATATTAAAGAATGCATTAAATGTGTATTGGTCAGCTACGGATCTGAACCCTGGTGAGCCTTTACTTATGGGAAGTTAACAGGCTCCTAGGATGTGTTCTCTAGAATGGAACCTTTGAAACCCAGTGCTCGGAGGGGTTTCCAGAGCCCACGCTTGGTTCAGGTGCTCGCGCAGGGCATTGGAACGCGCGCCCGACGCCTCTGCCCCGCAGGGAGCTCGCCAGGAGCCCGGCATCCCCGCGGCAGCGACAGTGGGCTGGGAGTGTGCGGTCTCGGCTCCAGAAACCAAGGAACTGATTAGAAACTGAGGAATACTAATGAGCCTAAAATTCTCATTTTTGTGGACCATTCCTACCCATAAATAATGATACTAGCACTTTTTCGGTGGAGAAAAGTGAAAGGTTCAACTTTTTTTTAAGTTGTTAATGTTTTTTAAAAATTTGGAGGGCTTTCCTAGGTCATCCTCTGCAGGTGCATAGAGCTGTGATGTCGTCAGAACCTGTTTCAGAAGCAGTGTTCTGGGTCCGGGGACGCACACCCTCGGCACCGTCTTCCACGTCGGGTGGGCGGGGCGCTGGGCGTCGGGGGCGCCCCTGCGCCTCCCCGCTGAGCTGGCCTCCTGCGCCCTCTCCCTCCACAGAGTCAAAGAGTCTTCGGGGTGGCAGCAGGTGTTCACCAGCCCGTACTTGGACTGGACCGTCGAGCGGGTGGCCATCAACGCCAAGGTGGTCGGCGGTCCCCATGGAGACAAGGACAAGATGGTCGCGGTGGCCTCTGAGAGCAGCATCATCCTGTGGAGCGTGCAGGACGGAGGGAGCGGCACCGAGATCGGTAGGGCGGGTGTGGCTGGGCTGCCCTTTGCCGGCACGTGGAGTGTCCCGGGCTCCGCAGGGACAGCTGCCACGACCCCCCAGACAGCCAGGGCCGCCCCCCTCCTCTCGGGCCGTGGTAGCGGATCTAGGCTGGGGCGTCTGCGAAGGGGAGATTGATGCTGTAGGAGGAAGGGGGTGTCCACCGTTGGCCCCGACCGAAGCCGGCAGAGCAGACCTGGACAGCGGGTCAGCTCAGCCCACGCCGTGGGGGCGGGGCCGCGGCTCCCTGCACACTCCGCGCAGGGCTGCGCTGCAGGGTCGCTGCAGGGTTCGCCCCAGGCTCCTGCCTCCCTGGCCAGACGGCCATGCAGACGAGCCATGGGGTCGGCCGTGCGATTCGGGGCAGAAGCACAGCCCCGGGGCAGCCAGCTCTCTCCTCACACCCTCGGCTCTTTGTAGGAAGCCAGTTCCGCTGTCTCCGCCAGATCTTTTTCATTTTCTTTAAATTTATTGTTTATTTTTGTTTATTGATATTAAAGAGAGAGAAACATCGATGAGAGAGAACATCGATGGGCTGCCTCCTGCGTGTGGAGGGGCTGTCCCAGGGCTGGCCTCCCCAATCGAGCCTGGAATGAGACCCTGCTGGGTGGGCCACGGCTTATACTGCTGCCTGCTCTGGGTGGCGGCCAGGACTGCGGAGCCTAAGAGGTGTGACACTTTAAGCGTCTGGGACATTCAGAACGTCTTCGTCTTCCTTGATTTCCCAGAACCCCGTCTTTCTCTCGAGGGATCGATGTTAGCTGGGTTTCCTGTTCTTGTGTCCCCCTGTCACAGAGCCCGTGGTACTGAACACAGTTGGTTTCGGGTCAAAATTAAAGTACCGTTGCATAGGAACTGCTGAAGCAGCATGTGAAATGATGACTTTCCCCTTTGAAGTGGCAAGTTTCTTTGCCAACCATTCCTGGTCCAGAAGGACAGACTTTTTTGTGTTAATTGTATTTCGCTGGTCCTTTTTTTTTTCTTCTTCCTTGATGGCTAGGGTTAAAGTGGTATCCTCACATGTATAAACAAGCATTTCTATTTCTATATACTAGAATGTATACATGTGAGACAGTTCTAGCAATAGCGGGGTTTTGTTTTCTTTTTTCCTTTCGTCCAGTGCACCCCATTTTTATTCCTGCCAGAGGCCCGGATGCCTGGCGTTTCAAGATCGGTTAGGGACGTCCAGCTGACTGTGTGGCTGGTTTATGTGTAGCACCGATGTGAGCAGACAGAGGAATACCCCTCACGGGCGTAAGATTCAGAAGGAGCCTGTTATTTCTCCGGCGCGTGATTTTAATTCCTGCAGCAAGTGCACTGGTCTCTTCAGAGCGCGAGGGACCCTTGTTTTGCTCAGCTAGACAGGTGCTGAGAAAACTGTTCACGTTGTCACATAACAGGTACTTATTTTAAAAAAATAAAAAAACTGATCCCTGGAACAGATTCACATTGAACAATACTGTATAGGTAAGGTATCTTTTCCAGCATTTTTTAGGTAGAAAGATAGTTCTCCTCAGGTGCTTTCCAAATAATTAAGATGATACGATTTCAGGGTCAACATGGCATTGTAACATTTCGAAGGTGCAAATGAGCATTGAGGCATTTAGCTGCAACTGTTTTATAGACGAGATAAGTAAGAGCCAGAAATGTGGCAAAAAAATAAAGTTCTTTTAGAGTCAGGATTCCACCCCGCCTGCCGGAGAGACGGCTGACCGGGGCCGTACATGCCGCACCGGGGGCCGGCACCTGCCGTGACGGGTGTACTGCTCCTGCCGCCTTCCTGGCCTACACCCCCCTCTTCTCAGACCCCAGGGCTTCCCACTCCCGGCCCCCAGGGGGATGACATCCTGTTCACCTTTGAAAAACCCCACCTCACGCGGCTGCTTTTCTAAGAGATATTCTCAAACCCTTTCTGCTCCTCTTACTCCTCCGGGTAGTGGAGCCCTGGGCACCCTTCTGTCACCACCGCGTCGTGTTGTTGGTGCTGGTTGGCGTTTTTTCTCTGTTGAACCCGAGCTCCCAGGAACATCCTGGCCTCTCGTGTGTTCAGTCCATCGCCTCATGGCCGTGTGTGTCCCACCTGCTGGGAAACGGGTGGGCACAAGCTCTGGCTGAAGGCCGGCGTTATGTGGAGTGTTGTACGACTTATCGCCGCCCCCCCCTTTTTCTTTGTTGTTATTTCCGGTTCCTCGACACGTGCTAGGTGGGCGTAGGCTGCCGAGCCTGTGTCTGCAGACCCGCGGTTCCCAGGTACCCGGGCCTCACCAGAACGCAGGGGCTCTTCTGACTTAGGGGGGCTGCCGTGGGTCCTCGAGCCGGTTGTTTTATGTTCACTTTAAATCCACCTGCCGTTTCGGTGGTCAGCTCGGTCTGGGAGCCGCGGTCTCCAGTGGAACGCGAGGTGTCCGGGAGCGTGAGACACGCGGGCGCACCCCTGTCCGCTTTGGCCACTGTGCCAGCTTCTCACGAGCCGCTGCTCTCTCGTCCCGTCTGGCACGCAGCCGGTAGAACCGAGTCGCCTTCAACACATTTTCGACCGCGCACGAGTTAACTCGGGGTGGCACTGCATTAGCTATTTCCGTTTTTGAAACTCCAGATAACACAGGATTATTGTATTTGTGACTCTTCGCCCTGAGGGTGGAAGTTCGAAAGCCAGCACACCGTCTATATTCTTGAAGGAGTTCGGGAAGGGGTATCTGCTGGCTCAGAAGGGTGCAGCTCCGAACCTGACGAGCAGTTTGCCCGAAAACGTGCGGTCCCTGGCGCACGTCTTAGAGATTCTGTGCAGTACGCAGTGTGTGAGGATGTTCGCGGGTTTGGGCTTTGACTGACTGTAAGGAGGATGACTGATGATTCTGGAAGGGGGGCAGTGATGGACAGTGAAGGTGGGGACTGACGAGCCTCTGTCTGTCACCGTCATCTAGGCGTGTTCAGCCTCGGGGTCCCCGTGGACGCGCTCTTCTTCATTGGGAACCAGCTGGTGGCCACGAGCCACACCGGGAAGGTGGGCGTGTGGAATGCTGTCACTCAGCACTGGCAGGTGAGTTCTACCGGAGCAGGCGACGGGGGACGCTTCTGCCTCTGCTGCTGACGGCACCGATGTCACGGGGAAGGGATGCTGCTGCTGAATGTGTTCAGCGTGATTTCCTCCTGGGCACGACTTTGACGATGTCGAGAATTTTAAGTTACTCAGAAAAATGTTTTTAAGCTGTGATTCGATACTTCTTCATTTCCTTGCTATGTTTTAAGTTCCAGGTGTTAGCTCTTTTCTCATTTTCCTCTGAGCGGGAGTGGACTGGACTCTGCTTTGTACTTGCTGCCCTGGGGCGTCTCCGCCCTTCCTCTTCCCGCTCCCTGACTTGCAGTGTCCAGCTCACTCCTTCTGGACTGCCCCTTGGCCTCTGCCCTCCTGCCTCTGACCGTCGCCCCACTTGACAGCCCCTCGCACTGGGGTGTCTTCGCTTTCCTGTCCTGCCCCCACGCTTACGAGCTTCTGCATCCCTCATCCGGTTCAGTTCTGGTTCCGGTTCTCCTGGACAACACCTGGTACATGGAAAGCAGTTCATGCGCACGTCCCCTGGAGGTCACAGCCTCTGCCCCACGTGGGATGTGGTGCTGTCACCGTCGCTGCCCTAAGGGGCACCGTGGTCGTTCTGTAGTACACACGTCCTGAGCTGGCTTTCAGCATAAACACGGGCAGCTGTTAACGTGCAGCTGGGTCGATTTGCTTGTGAGCTGTTTGGTTCTAGTATTTGGAGAAACAAAAGCATCTGAGCCCATTCACCCCGTTACCGTTTCCTTGGAAACAGGGAGAGTCTGCGGCGGGAGAACGAAGTCGAGAAACTGTCTGTTCAGACAACCGATAGCAAATTCCGAGGGAATGAGTACGGCCTGGACATCGGCGGGTCCGTGTTCTAGTTCTGATTCTGGCCCTGACTGGGCCCGAGCAGGTCCTTTGTCGCCCACGTGCCCTGGCAGGCGTGGCCTCCAGCCCTCACGTGTGCCGTGAACCCCGACTCCTGCAGGGAGTCCTACGTTCTGCAGGGAAAGTGCTACCGTTGCAAGGACACATCTTTAAAAGCTGTAAAGGGAGTGAGGTGGTGCCAGCCTCCCTGTGCGAGGGGCGTAGAACGTCCATGTCTGAGCCCTGCCTACAGGGACTGTTCGTGCCCTTTGTAATGAGAGAATTTTGAGGAAATGAAGCAGGAAATATAAGTGTAATTAATATCTAACTTCTAGTAATGATCTCACTCCATCAGGTTCAAGACGTCGTTCCCATAACTAGTTACGACACTGCAGGGTCGTTCCTTCTGCTGGGATGTAACAACGGGTCCATATATTACATCGGTGAGTGGTGGGCACTGGAGGGTCCATATGTTACATGGGTGAGGGGCGGGCACTGGAGGGCCTGCTGTGTGGTCTGTCGCACTATCTTCTATTCTGAGTGAGTGTGCCGTCAGGGTTCACGTCCCTAACGTTGTGTGTTTAGATATGCAGAAGTTCCCTTTGCGAATGAAGGATAACGACCTCCTTGTCACTGAGCTTTATCACGACCCTTCGAACGATGCCATCACTGCGCTGAGCGTTTACCTCACACCCAAAACCAGTGAGTGCCGGCAGGACGAGTGTCCGTTCCCGGAGCGTTTTTGAGAATGTGTGTCTGTTACGATGCAGCCAGTGCGGTCTTTTCTGTCTGAAATGCGGTGCTAAGGGTTTCGTCCCTGTCTGTCTGGAGTCTGTTTGGTTTTATACTGGAGCAAACACGGCCAATGAACGAGCACCCTTGGCGGGGACATTAGCACCTTGCCCCTTCCGACCGTGTTTGCTGAGCCGTGTCACCCAGCATTGACCGGAATTGTCAAAATAATCCCACGTTTGCCTTCCTGCCGCAGTAGCTGCTTCTGTTCTGAAATGAGCAGCTTTTATATTTTCTTAACCAGGTTAAAAAGCTCTTAGACTGACCATCTTTCTTGGACAGCAGTGAGCTTATTTCCTTGGGAACTTCAAGTTTAAGTTGTGGAAAAGGACAGTTTACTGGGAAGTTCAGTGTCTGACTTTTCCCGGGGCCGCGGCGGGGAGTGAGCGGGTGGGGGGATGGAAGCCGTGTGGTTGTGTGTTCCCCGGTGAACCGCTGAAACTGTTACATAGACTCTTCCTGCCGAATCAAGTTGGGAACATACTATATTGTAGCAAAAGTAAAATTGACGAGATGGTCTTCCCTGCTGGAAGTAACATGGACTAGGACTTGAGGGTGCTGTGGTATCAGCGGTGGTCTCAGCAGTTACAGCTGGTGTTTTACTTCTTTAAACACTGGTGGGGGACCTACTGCGCGTCAGGCTGTCCACAAGGTGACGTAGATGAGCAGATGCTTAGGACCGTCGGGGAGGTGGGTGCACACGGAGGTCGATGATCAGGGCCGCAGCTGCCCTGGGGACCTGGCGCAGCCCGGGGAGGGTCGGGAGGGTCAGGAGGTCGCAGTTCTGGGCCCCTGCACCAATGGGTCGGCGGATGGAGGCCTGGGTCCCACACTGCCCTTCATCACAGGGCAGCTCCCTTCTTGCCCGTCATCTCCTGTCCCCGTTCCACCTGTGACCCAGGTGTCAGTGGGAACTGGATTGAGATCGCCTACGGCACCAGCTCGGGAGCAGTGCGGGTGATCGTGCAGCACCCCGAGACGGTGGGGTCGGGCCCGCAGCTCTTCCAGACCTTCACTGTGCACCGCAGCCCCGTGACGAAGATCATGCTGTCCGAGAAGCACCTGGTGTCAGGTACGGGTGCAGCGGGCAGCGCGGAGGGGCCCTGCCGCACGGATTCCCTGGCCCGGCCCGCGGGAGGGGGCGCAGCGCGGAGGGGCCCTGCCGCACGGATTCCCTGGCCCGGCCCGCGGGAAGGCTGTTCAGGGGGCGTCGGGAGCGCAGGGACGGGCCTGGGAGAAAGGGCAGCAGCCGGGAGGCCCAGGCTCGTCTTTGACTTCGGGTCCCTGTGAGGTCGCCTGATTGCGGAGTACGGACATGTAGGAGGCGGCAGCTCTTTTATTTGCCCTCTGTTCTGCTCTTTTGTCCTCATGGCCTATATTATTTCAAAATACTTATCGTAATTCTGTTGAAAGGTGTGTTATTACAGAAATTTTCCAAATAGAAATGTGGTGGCATTGTCTTAAGGTTTGAAGCTAAAATTGTACATTTAGGTAGGATGTTGTTTGATCATCTTTTAAAGTATTAACAACTAATTGAATTTGCAGGTTTGAAATTTAAGTAAATTAGTCAGGAAAAATGCCCAGCTCAGCCAAAAACGCAGAGAAGCCTGTCCCTGGTGCTCGGTTGCGTTCTCCTGCCACCTGGTGGAGAGCGATGTGTAACGACGTTCTTTTTCCCCGAGTGTTAGTTTTCATGTCTCAATGAAAAAGTTTACATAATGATGAATTTAACAAAATTTGCCATAATTTTAAAAATATTTAAATTTGTTTGAATCCTAGTAAGGTTAATAGTGAAATCAGATATTATATCCCACGAGGCTTAATGCACAGCCTGGACCTGGAACTCTCTTTCCACCAGGAAGCCAGCAATTCTGAGAAGGGGGAATTTCGTTACTTAAATAACAAAATTGCAATTAGCCAAAATTAAATTTCTTTCTAAAGTTTTGTGTAAAAATGTATAACTATAGCATTTTACCCAGTAGGAAATGTTATGAGTATATATTTTTAATGTTTTCCTAATATTTACTGATGAGTTCATAGCTTTTTGCTAATAATAACATGTTTGAGATCATCATGTCAAATTAGTATACGTTTTTATAAAGGCAAGCAACAAAAATACTGTTATTACATTAATGCTATTTTTAGGTTTATATTTTTTAGTAATGTGTTCCAGACCCCAAAAAAAAGAGAGGTTACTTGTTAGGATTATCTGAATAAATGTCCACTTAATATTATTTACATGAAAAGAGTAAGCTAATTGGAGTATGCTTTTTAATTACAGACTTATTTAATATAAAAATAATTCTCAGATTTATATGGAATCTTAATTTTTCTTAACGTATCTAGGAATGGGCAAAAAAATAGCTAGTTCCTAATAGCTTTTTGATAAGTGTCATTTTTGACAAAGTCTCAGTAACTCCTGGTCTAGGTTAATATTTGAGTAGCATACGCAGAAAGTTTCTGTGGTTTAAAATAATAAACTGGGCACCCGACCGGTGTGGCTTGGTGGTTGAGCGTGGACCCCAGGCACCAGGAAGTCGCCGGTTCGATTCCTGGTCAGGGCACATGTCCAGGTTGTGGGCCCGATCCCCAGTGGGTGGCACACAGGAGGTGGCCAGTCGATGTTCTCTCTCATCGATGTTTCTATCACGCCCCCCACCTTCCTTTCTCTCTAGAATCAATAAACAAAAATTTTTTTTTTAAAAATAAACTAGGCAACTTGTTTACTATCTTCTCTTAAAAATACTTTGTTTAAACCTCTTCTACTCTATAAGCTACTTTTAAAGGATCCATAGATTTACGTATGTCCTTTATATTTGCAGCAAGGTCAACCATATGCAGTTCTCTTCTGTTGGCTAGGCACAAATTACGTATAGTTCTAAGACAAAGACGTCATCTGCCACTCCGGAAAATGTGCTGTGATCTGTCTGATGCAGACCCTAAGAAGTTAAAATGAGTTTCTAGAAGGATTTTGATGGTGCTCTTGTAAACCTGTATTTCACACTGTTCTGTGTCCTCTCCTAGTCTGTGCGGATAACAATCACGTCCGGACGTGGACGGTTACCCGGTTCCGAGGCATGATCTCCACCCAGCCCGGGTCCACGCCTCTGGCGTCGTTCAAGATCCTGTCTCTGGAGGAGACAGAGAGTCACGGCAGCTATTCCTCGGGGAACGACATCGGTGAGCGAGCCCATGGGGATCGTGTTCGCGTGTGGGCAGGGTAGACGTGCACTAACAATAGCAGAAACCTGAAGACGAGTGTTAAGTAAGAAATTTTTATTTTAATGATGAAACTCACTTCAAACAAATTTGGTGTGTTTTTCTTAAGGTCTATAAATTCACAGAATTACAGCATCATTTTTCATCTTATTAGCATTTCCTCATTTAAATATATTGTCTCCAAATGCTAACCACTTTTGTTTAGGATTAAAAGCCATGTGTATTTGAACTTTGAAGCTAGAAAAGGGTTCTTACACACAGTGGTTTTGGTGGCCTTGTGATCAGGAAGCAATGTGGCAGGTCTCCACAGCTGTGCTCGGATCGTCCTCTGGATGTCGTACACACAGCTGCGTACATGGGCTTGCACACAGTCTTCATAGAGACAGATCCCCCCAGGACCCACTGGAAGGAGTCTACGCCACGTGCATATTCTGTATCGCTGGACTTGAACAGTTCATCAGGGTCTGCCTGTTAACCGGTCGTGGACTTTCCGGTCGTTCTGCACAGTGGGACGTGAGCGTGGGGGGGGGCCGGGAGGCGCGCATCAGAGCTGGCGTGCGTGCGGCGGTGGAAAGCATGCATAGTTTGCTCCCACGGTAAAGGTTTTAGAAGACTTATCGTTAAAAAGCTACTTCTGAGAATTGTACCACAGACTCAGTATTTTTAGAAAAAGAAACGCTCACTGTTGGTGATTTTAAGACTGCGCTTTGATGGCAGTTCGGACTTGACAGATCCGTGTCGTCACGGTGGTTTTTGCAGTTTCATTGAGAATTGACATGGAGCACGGGGTAAGCTTCAGGGTCCCGGCACCAGCAGTCTGAGAACGTGACCTAAACCACCTTCCAGTCTGGCGGGCGCTGGGGCAGGGACAGCCGGCGCTGTGCACACGCGGGGCCGAGGGCGGGGCCGGGGCTCAGCACAGGCGCTGGGTCACACGCTCTCATTGCTTCTCCGGACAGTCCTCAGATAGAAGCCGTCCACGTGACGTGGGTGGAGGGCTCCCTGTCAGAACCGAGGCCAGCGGTGGGGGCTTTAGGACCGTGACGGCCCGGCAGGGAAGGCGGCAGGTGGAAGGGACGGAGGCTGACCAGCTGGCCAGTTGGAAATGGCACAGCGCGTCTGCTGGCGTGCGTGAGGGCGGACCGACGGTCGGGGAGAGCGAGTGTAAGGGAATAGGACGGGGCCTACCAGTGCCCCGGAACGTGCCTGAAAGGAAGCAGGGAGATTGTTTCCTCTTTATAGTTTTACAACCATCCTAGGAGATGCAGATCGGTTAAAGTGACAGGGTGGAAAGTTCCGTTCCAGTAGAGTGGATGGGCCGACGAGCTTTCCATCCAGTGGAGCAGCAGAGGTTAGAAGGCAAGGAAGTTGCAAGTTTGTTTGATGGCTCCAGAACCCCCGAAGGCAGGAGCCCGAGAAGCTGTAAGGAGGGGCGGGGATGAGTCCCAGCGGTAAGTTCTGAGGTGTCAGGACAGAGTTGCACAGGGAGGAAATACAGTCCGTAGCCCTCGTTTCTGGTTTGCTGACTCCTCCCCACTCTCGTGAGGTGGTGTCTCGGTTCTTGAGCGAGGACTGTCGTAGCCGTCCAGTGGCGTCAGACCGGAGGTCCCCCGGTGACCGGGCCGCTGCACGGCTGAGTGACGAGCGGGCAGTCTGGGCTCCAGTTCATCAAGCAGGACCCGTGAGATCTTCGGTTCCCTCATCTCTTGATGCCTTAGTTTTCTCATCTGTGAAATGGAGATAATAATAGTGCATCCCTCATACGGTTATAATGATGACTAAATTGAATTATTTGTGAAGCATTTACTCTGGCACATACTAAATTATGTAATGTGTGTCAACTGCTAAAGATGTTATTGTTCAATTTATTAGGTGTGATTCACAGGAGATAATTTGGAATATCTGGTCTTTAAATATTGTGTTGTACATCACACTTTGGTATTATTTTAGCTATTGAATATGACGGGAAAAGAGAATTATTAGAATTTTATATTGAAGTCTTGCATGAAAACACTTTTTCTTTATATTGTTCAGAGTCTCTCTAAAATGGTGAGCAGTGTCTGCCCAGCACAATAACAAAAATAATTGCATCTTTTTCTTCAGATTGAAAACTTTGCAGGATGCAATAGGCTTCTGATTAATTAAATTCTGTTTAATGAAGTTGCACTTTATTTTTAAGATTTTGCATGGTTTTGTTTTTTTTTTTTTTAAAGTACAACTAGTACAGAAAAGTAACTTCATCTGTACATCCCTCTTTTGAAGTTGAAAGGAACTGAGCACATTCTCAAAGGTAGTAAGTAAATGTACAGGCCTGAGCATATTCTTGCCTTAAGCTTTGACAGCCTTGGTGCAAAAACTATAATTTCGAGACATATTCCATTTACCTTCAGATAGAGCGGGAGGGAGGGAGAGACACGTCCTCTGGTGCTTCCCGCACAGCCCTGCCCGGGGCCGGGGCCTGAGCCGCAGCCGAGGTACTGACTGCACTTGAACCCAGGACTCTGCTCTGCGGGCATCACCACACAGTCCAGGGTGGTGTCAGCCGGGCTTTGTCTAATTGTCCTGGAAGGCCATGCACACAGACAGGGAAAATCCCGCCCCCACCCCCGAGTACTAATATTAATGTTCTTTTTGTTAAATGAAACCATTTACATTTTAATTACTTCCCTCTGACACTGTCTGTCTTCTGACCAAGGGCCTTTCGGGGAGCGTGACGACCAGCAGGTGTTCATCCAGAAGGTGGTTCCCGTCACGAACACGCTGTTCGTCAGGCTCTCCTCCACCGGGAAAAGGTAACGCTTCCCGGCCCAGAGCACGCGCCCCTTCCGCCTGCCACGCACCGCGCTGAGTCAGCACACACTGTCCCTTCCGCCTGCCACACACCGCGCTGAGTCAGCACACACTGTCCCTTCCGCCTGCCACGCACCGCGCTGAGTCACCACACACTGTCCCTTCCGCCTGCCACGCACCGCGCTGAGTCACCACACACTGTCCCTTCCGCCTGCCACGCACCGCGCTGAGTCAGCACACACTGTCCCTTCCGCCTGCCACGCACCGCGCTGAGTCACCACACACTGTCCCTTCCGCCTGCCACGCACCGCGCTGAGTCACCACACACTGTCCCTTCCGCCTGCCATGCACCTTGCTGAGTCACCAGGACACACTGTCCAGAGCATGCTGTCCCTTCCGCCTGACACGCACCGCGCTGAGTCACCCACACTGTCCAGAGCATGTGTCCCTTCTGCCTGCCACGCACCGCGCTGAGTCACCAGGACACACTGTCCAGAGCATGCCGTCCCTTCTGCCTGACACACACAGGGCTGAGTCACCACTCAATGTCCAGAGCATGCGTCCCTTCCACCTGCCACGCGCAGCGCTGAGTCTCCAGGACACTGTCCAGAGCAGTCTGTCCCTTCCGCCTGACACGCACTACACTGAGTCAACAGGACACTGTGTCCAGAGCATGCGTCCCTTCCGCCTGACACGCACCGCGCTGAGTCACCACACACTGTCCCTTCTGCCTGCCACGCGCAGCGCTGAGTCTCCAGGACACTGGTGACAGGCTGCCACCGGGAGTAGGTTGCCGAGAGGGGGCTCCTCGCTCTTCATCGCTTTCCCTCGGCAGAAGGGCAGCGAGCGCTTGTTCCCGCGGGCGGGCGTGTCCGGGGGCTCATGGGCTGTGGCAGGTAGGAAGGACTAGTGACCGGGCTGAACGAGAACCCCGTTTGGGTGCAGCCCCTCCTCTCTGGCCTTGGGCATTCGTTCCCCTTCGGTGGTTTTGTTTCCCTGGGTCCCCGACTCCGAGGAAGAGGGCTCAGCTCCCTCGACAGGTGCCGCAGGCTGTGGGGTTAGCCCCCTTCTCCCGCCTGTGGTCCCCACCAGTGCCAGTGCCGTCGACGTCAGTTTCCTCTTCCTTTTCCACTTGACTGAAACCTACTGTTTTAAAAATTGAAACTGTATTATACAGAGCTTCAAACACATTGAGCTATATAACACTTCTCTTCTTTAGAAACACAACATTCTTTGCAAAAAAATAGTAAACTTCCTATTAGTCGTCATTAAGAAGGTTACGGGTGTGCACATTAATGTTGCTGGTGCTGACCGTTGTGATACTGTTTCCGTCACCCTTCAGCGTGGATTCTGACTCCTTAGTATTTTAGTAACCTTGAGATGACACCTTTTTAACTTGAAGTTCGTTGCTTGTAGTCATTAACTCTTACATGAATTGATTCCAGAGAATTTTATGTACTCAACTTTTTTTTTTTAAGAAAATTTATTTGGAGACTCTAAAGCAGTTAGAGACCAAATTATTTTCTTGACAAACGTTATCAGTGGTCTAGTGCCTGCACACTTGGTGAAGGAGCTGCCAGGGTGGCATCTCATGTCCACGTGCGGGTCTCACCGCCTCTTGCGGCTCAGGTGACAACAGTGTGGCACCAGCTGCAATTTCTGCCTGGTAACGGCCATTACGATGTTTCAGCTTCATGATTCCAGAGGAGAAGCTACATTTGTACAAGTACCCAGCAGAGGTTACTTTGTAGAATTAAAAAGAGCACCAGCCACTCCGGCAGCTCAGGCAGCTCACGGAAGCTTTGCTTCTAGACGCCCGGGCTCTGGGGCAGTTCAGGTGTCGTCCAGCGGAGGACGCTGCTTGGGCACCTCCGCATTTTACATGACTTCTCCAGGTCTTTCCAGTATGATGCCGGTAACTTCCTCTGAAAGAGTCGCTCATTTCCTACCAAGGCTCTGTCAAGACTGACTTGAGTCACTTCCTGCTTTCAGTTACTTGGTACATTCTCTTGTGAGGACCTGTTCTCTAGACTCCGAAACGACGCTAGACTGATTCCTGTTGACCTGCCTGACCCCTTGAGCACTGTCCTACCCGCGTGGCTACTGAGCTACGACTGGGCAGGCGCATCGGCTGTCTGTGCCGTGGCCCCAGCTGCCCCGTGTCCCGTACAGGATATGCGAGATCCAGGCCGTGGACTGCACCACGATATCCGCGTTCACGGTGAGGGAGTGCGAGGGGTCCAGCCGGATGGGCTCGCGGCCGCGGCGCTACCTGTTCACGGGCCACGCCAACGGCAGCATTCAGATGTGGGATCTGACCACGGCCATGGACATGGGCAGCAAGAGCGAAGGTCACGGTAGGTGTCGGGCTGAGACCCTGGGCGGGGGCGCGCGGCTCAGCGCTCACGACCTGTGTCTGTGTCGTCCTCAGACGCTGGGGGCCCGACGGAGGAGGAGCTGCTGAAGCTGCTGGATCAGTGCGACCTGAGCGCCTCTCGCTGCGCCACCCCCAACATCAGCCCGGCCACCTCGGTGGCCCAGCACAGCCGCCTGCGGGAGTCGGAGTCCAGGTGGGCCGGGAGGCGGGCACAGCTGTTCTGACGGCCAGCGTTTTGTAGCTGCATTTTACATTCAGACTTTACGTGGCTCTTCCATTTTTTTTTTCCATTGTGCTAAATTTACTACTGCATCTGGGTCTTTTCATAGAAAAACATCCTTACTCTTTGTTTGTGAATTTCTGCTCATTTGGGTACCTGTTTGATGATGGAAAATAGTCGGATGTCACCGTGGGGGGTAGGTGGCACCTTTGTTCTTGTGGCCTGAGGGACGTGTTGAGCAAGGGGACCTCGTCTGATCTTTGGGCATTCTGTCATCTCTTCTACTGAGGTGCCTTTGAGACGCACTGTTGGTTCCTGGTGCACGACATACTTCCGTACTCGTCTGCATTATGTACTTCTCAGACAATGACATGGTCTATCATTTCAGTTAACATTTTAAAAAATCCAAAATCTAAACTTAGGGCTGAATACTGAATTACATCGGTTCGACCTTGGTTTTAGTCTTTTATACCCTGCCATTTTCAGCCGTTCAGAAACGTAGCTCGTGATAAGAACAGTCACAAGGAACGTGGTCAGTGACACGCCACCTCACAGCGCCAGATGGGGTATCGCTCCGTAGGTTTTATACTCCGGTCACTGCACACCTGGCACCAACAGGGTACTGTGTGTCGACTGTAACTGGGAAAGTCCTGCTTGACTGTGTTGGTAGCTTCCTGCGCACACACAGTATGTAAAGGACTTAAATGGGTTTGTACACAGAAGTAAGGATGAGTAGTCTGTACACCTTCATTTCTGCTGTAGTGTGATTAGTGAGATGTGCCCAAGCGTCTCGGTGACCTCTGACCTGCACTCTCCCCTTTCAGCCTCCAGCTCCAGCACCACGAACCCATCCAGGAGGCGGCCACCTACGGCTCCCTGAGGCCCTACAGAGAGAGCCCCCTGCTGGCCAGGGCGAGGAGGACCGAGAGCTTCCACAGCTACCGGGACTTCCAGACCCTCAGTCTGAGCAGAAGCGCGGAGCGAGCCGCGCCCGAGAGCGCCCCCGCGGGGCCGGGCCCGGCCGAAGGCAAGCGCGCCGAGGGCGCCGCGGGCGAGGGCGCGTCTCCGGGGGCCGAGGCCAGGAGCCCGGGGGCGGCGGACGGGGCCGCGGACGGGCCCAGGGTGGCCGAGGCTCTCCTGGAGCCCAAGAAAAGGTCGTCGGAAGAGGAAAACGAGAGCAGAGGGGAACCGCGGCGGAAGGGCCCCGACGGAGGCGGCTTCCTGGGACGGAGGAAAGGGCCGCTCCTGGCCTCGCCCTGCGCCCCGGACGCGGCGCCCGACTCGCCCGGCCCCGCGTCCCCGTCGCCCACGAAGACCACGCCCTCCCCTCGGCACAGGAAGAGCGAGTCCTCGGGGCCGGAGTACAGCCTGTGAGCGCCCCGGGCTGCTGCCCTGCGCCCCGAGACGCAGGGACCCGGCCTCAGGACGCGCCTTCGCCCCAGAGCCGCCCTGCGGGAAGAACGGATCTAGGTCTCGACTCTCCTTTAGGTTTGCAAGGACCTGTGACCGGCCGTCTGTGGGTCAAGGCCGTGTCAGTGTGTCCTTAGCAAGGGGGTGCCCGCGGAGCCCCCTCCGGTCCCGAGCTCGGCCGTGCCCGACACTTGTCTTGCCGGGATCTTAAGTGAATCACGTAATTCCCTTTGGAACTCAGCCTCTCTCGTCCCTTATTGTGACTGCACAGTGTTTACCTGATCTGTAACGAGGTGCTACGTTTGTGAAGAAATACCATGTAATTCCGAACACTCGATGTTGGTACCAGGGTGCCCTGGTGGTAGTGCGTCCCTTAGGGTCATTTAAATTGTAGGTCCTCGTCTGATTCTCCTCGTCGGAGGTCTTAAATCTAGGGAGCATCACCGATCTGAAAAGCCCAAAGTCCATTTACACTTTCTTTAAAGCTGGAGCAAGTTGTCTGTGTTTGAACAGATGAAACAAAAATAATAATCAAGGACGAAGCTCCAGCGTGGGGGGGGGGGGGGCTGCGGCTGCGGTGTTTGCTCCCCTAGTTACCCACCCAGACCATAAAGGCCGAGGGGGCTATTTTGTTAAGCTAATGAGACTACAGTTCTGAATGTTTAAAGGTTTTGGCTGCTGTAAAAATATTGTTTTGAATATATTTTAAATTGTAAGAATAAAATAATTTTGGGTTCCTTTTTTAAAAATTTAATTGGACAGATTTTCAAGTCTCTGCAAATAGGGTAATTGTAAAGCATTAAGCATTTATTGGTGAAAAATGTATATATTCCCCTTTCAAGTTTACCACATCGGCAGTGAATCCACGGCCGTTCTCGTGTCTATTTATCGATTAAGGCTAATAAAAGTGACTAAGACTAGCTGTGTTTTCGATGGTTTTAGGAACCATTATCTGTTTCGAGTGTCCCTACGTGAGTCTGTTCATCTCTTCGTCCCTTAACAAAAAAGGGAGAACTTAATACGTAACTTAACATTGTTGGTGAGGGAAAATGGGAAGCAAAGCGTACGGTCAGTGTTACTCAGGGCTGTGATGGTCTGTCTGTCCGTCTGTCTTTCTCATCAGTCTTGTAAAAGCTGGGCCAGGGGCAGGTAAGGAAATTAACGAGAGAAGTTGAGCATTTACGCAGCCTTTTCCGAGAGTGGAAGGCCACTAGGAGAGACGTGTTGGTACCTGTGTGTCGCGCTGTGGAAAAGCCAGGCGACCCTCCAAACCCTGTGATTACGTCAACCCTCGGCCGAGTGTGCAGGCTGTGCAGGGCCCTGTGCTCTGAAGGACTTGCATCTGGCAGCTGCGATCATTAGTCTGGTGGTTCCTTACCGGTCCTGCCGGCCTCCCGGGCAGAGCAGAGCAGCAGCGATGAGCTTTCTGAATCCCCTGGCTTTTAAACTACTAACTGCTCTTCACTTGTACCTGCTCTGGGCCCCTGGAAAGCGCCACTGGTCATTCATTCAGCCTATGGCCTCTGCCTGACCAGAGGTGAAAGGGCCTGTTTTTGTAGCTTCCGTAAAATAAGCATTTCCATATGCATGGTGGCCTTTGTTTCAGACAGCCAGAAAATCAGCATTTCTTAGACCCCTGTTAGGGAGAAACGGGCTTTTTTTCATTCAAGGATTACGGAATAGCAGGCACCAGCTTTTGCATTTGTGGTGTGTGGGTGATGGTGAGGAGCAGTGGGAATGGGGTGTGCAGCCCGCATTCCAGTCCGACTTACATTTTGCAGGTTCCGTGCTCTACAGGTGGGTGTCGGTGAAGGTGGTGTGTTCCTTGGTCACGGAGCTGAAACCCTTGATGGCGTTCATCAGGTCCTCCTCATCCACGTACTGGAAAAGAAGCGTCACTCATTAGGGTGTTTGCGGTGGGCAGTGTCGGCCGTCGGTTCATAGTTCTGTTTTATTAAAGGCGGGTACCCTATGCTCAGCACTGAGGTGTGGTTTGAGACCTTCCTTGTCCTAAATTCATCTTAGGATCACGTTGCATGCCCACGTACACTACATCCAAAATGGGCATCATTTGAGGGTTGGATCACCCATACCTTCATCTCCGTTTTCTGGTCTGCAGAGTGGAAACAATGGATATGTTTAAGATTTAGCTGAAGGCGCAAGTGGGAGGGCGGATCGCAAGCTCCTCTGCTTCCTCTCTTCCTGCACCTACGCTTTCTGAGCGGGGCTGGTGGCGTGAACCACAGGGAACAGGTAAGGCTCCAGGTGTTGGCGTCTTCAGAAGCAGACACCGCGTGGCTTCGCCTGCTGCCTGTCCCCAGTGTCAGTGGAAGGCGGGCTCCGCAGTCACACAATGTTTCCGTTCCCAGTTCCGCACAAAAATCCCCAGCTGCGTGTCCTTGGGTGAGGACACACGTGCATCTGAGCCCTCAACCAGTTAGGGGAACCATGTGAAACTGCCACCCCATGTGCCCAGTTAACAGTTGTGTGTGTTTCAAATGGTATACTATTCCTGCCATTTGGAAACTTGAGATCTGGAGTGAAATCGTGGAATTCAATAGTCCTATTCACATCAAGGAGGCTGGAATTTAAAAATGCATATTATCACCCAGCCGGTGTGGTCAGTGCTTGAGCGTCGACCCAGGCACCAAGAGGTCGCCAGTTCGACTCCTGGTCAGGGCACATGCCCAGGTTGTGGGCCAGATCCCCAGTGGGGGGCGTGCAGGAGGCGGCCGATTGATGTTCTCTCTCATTGATGTTTCTCTCCCTCTCCCTTTCTCTCTAAAATCAATAAAGGAAAAAAATGTAAATGCACATTACGCATCATGGTTCGGAAGAAGGCGGAGGGCTGTGTCCTTTAGTTTCTCACTGTGAGTGGAACTTGGAGCCTGGACATTTGCTTTATGACTTCCCCCTAGTGAAGAAGGGCTTCACGGAAGCCAGCGACTCTTCCGTGCAGGAAAGGTTAGAACTTGGAGAGAGAAGAGGAACAGGGTCGAAGCAGAAGGTCGGAAGAAACAGGTGAAGAATTCCGCCTCAGACGAGGCAGTGACCAAGTCCTTGGTTGTTTCTATCTAACTGTCCCAAGGGAACGTCTCTCCAGCAGACACCTAGTCAGCCAGTCTGCACAGTGACGTTGTTTGCTGCTTGGTAAAAACCCTAGGAATTCATCATTTCGGTCACCAGAGGCTCATGGCAAAGAGTAGTCAAGGAGGAGGTTAACTTGTACTCAGTCATTTGTACCCACTGGACTGGAATTAAGGAAGGTCAAGGTCATAAACGTTTTACTCTTGTGATTTTCTAGGAAATGAACCATTGAGCTTTGTGCTCATTTTCTCTGACCACAAACCAGAAGGAAAAAGATGATGCTGTACTTTTTTTTTTTTTTAAACGGGCTTGTATTTTACGCCTAATTTTAGTCCATTTATGTTTCCAATCCCTTTCTGCCCAAGGGTGTCTCTTCACTTACTCATGCTTTTGGTTTTTGAGTTCTCGTGTGTGCTGAAAAAACATTTCTACCCTGGTCATCAAATAATCATCCTGACACTAGGAAGCTGCTTGGTCAACTGAGGGTGCACCTGTGTCTCAGGTGGGTGCAGGTGCAGGTGCAGGTGCAGGTAGCGCCACGCCCCCTCCCCACCGATATTCCCGAGACGTTCAGCTAAGGCTCCGGGTGGAGAACTCCACTCACCAGTCCACTGTTGTGACCTAGGATGGTTTCCCACAGCGAATCGTCTATCAGGACTTTCTTGTCTTGAATGTCCATGAGTTGGCTGACGCTGCGGTGGAGGACACCCTGGGAACAGGTTTGGCTGAGTTGGCTCTGACTTGGAATTCGAAGGACAGAGATGCTCCGGTTGCTGCTGAGACTCATGCGTGCCCCAGACCTCGGGATCTTAGTATCCATCAGTCCCTGCAGGGAAGGTTGTTGCTGGTGACTGACGGACCCTCAGAGCACCCCCAGTTAGCCACGTTCTCCCACAGTCCCCATAAGTGAGCACATCTGTACTGCACTTGAGAATTCCTGGGTCCCTGTAGGGAAATGGGACCTTCCTCTCTTTCTGCTCATCCCACATCCTTCCCCTTGTTGCAGGAGTCCAGCCTCCAAAATAAATCAGGCCTGGTACTAACATCAGAAACACGGGGGCTCACTGCTTCGGGCCCAGAATCTGCTTAGCCCCTAGCATGTGTCGTGAGAAAACTAGCTGCTCTTAACACATTGTTGGCCGGCAATTTTACACAGAAGTTCTCTCGTGTCACCGGCTATTTTTCCATAACTGGGTATGAAAGTGAAACAATCTAAATAAACGTCAGTATACTTTATACATAATCAATTTCAATGAAACTGTACATGTCTGCTACATATTATATTGTACACATATTATATATTTTAGTAATTTTTTGTGTGTGGTATAGTGTATAGCAATCACCTTTTGAAACACACACTTTACACGTACTAGATTTTTTTTTTTTTACACTGGTGACTATTTTTTCTAAAAGGTAGTCTTTTAGTTGCCCTGAAAGCTAACAGGCGGGCCAGTGTAAGGAGCTCTTAGAGGTACCAGAGGTGTCAGGTTCCGAGCTGCACCCATCTGAGCCAGCAGATGTCCCTTCCCTGGCTGCTTCAAGAATACAGATGGTGTGCTGGTTTTTGAACTTCGACCCTCAGGGCGAAGAGTCACATGTACAACAATCCTGTGTGACCCTGAGTTTCAGAAATGGAAATAGCTAATGCGGTGCCAACCCGAGTTGACTCGTGAGCGGCCGACAATGTGTTAAGAACCGGAGGGCTCCGACTCAGCCGGCCCAGTCTCGGCCGTGTGCCCGCCTCTCCCCACGCGCACACGCCATGCACAAGGCCATGCACAAGCCATGCAGCCCTGCAGCTACCTCCAGGTGCATGGTGTAGCTCTTCAGCGTAACGTTGCTGGACGCGTCAGAAACATCGGCCACAGAGTCAAACTGAGAGCGAATGGGGAGACAGTGGTCAGCATTTGCGACAGTTCAAAGCTCATTCTCAGTCTTTGCCTAGTGAGAGCATAACTTGTGCATACCTCACCACCGTCCCACATGTGGATATGCATACATACCCACTCATACCACCGTCCTACATGCGGATATGCATACATACCCGCTCATACCTCACCACCGTCCCACATGTGGATATGCATACATACCCACTCATACCACCGTCCTACATGCGGATATGCATACATACCCGCTCACACCTCACCACCATCCTAGATGCGGATATGCATATATACCTGCTCATACCTCACCACCGTCCTGAGATGCAGATATGCATACATATCTGCGCATACTCTACCACCGTCCTGAGATGCGGATACGCATATATATCTGTGCATAGCTGCATTCCGCACCGACCACAAACCACGGGCCACAGAGGGACCGCTGCCCTTCCCTGTCCTCAACACGCCTGCTCGGGCATGACAGCCTGGTCGGGCTCACCCACTGCTCATTGGTGGGTCCTAGAAAGCGGAAGAGATCTGGGAGGTGGACGAGGCTGCTGTTCACTCATTTCTGGCTTTTATTTAAATTTTTTCCCATTATTGATTTTAGAGAGAGAGGAAGGGAGGAGGAGAGAAAGAGATGGAAACATCGATGAGAGAGAACATCGACTGGCCGCCTCCTGCATGCCCCCCACTGGGGATCTGGCCTCCGACCTGGGCATGTGCCCCAACCGGGAATCGAACCGGTGACCTCTTAGTGCAGGGGTCCACACTAAACCTCTGAGCCACACCGGCAGGGTTCATTTCTAGCTTTTAAAGTGTTGAAACATACGCAGTTTGACCAGATGTCTATGCTTTGTTGTGGTGTTGTCGTGATTTTGTGACTTAGAAATGTATTTGATGTTTGTCCCCCTGGCGGGTCAGAGCACCTACCACCCTGGGGAAGTCCAGAGACAGCAGCAAAGCTGTCTTGTCATGTTAATGAGGTGGCTCTAGGCCCCACCTAAGGAGGCAGCGGTGGCCTGGAGCACAGACCACGTGATTAGAGTTGGGAGTTTCAGTCCAATCCCCCTGACCTGGCTGGAGGTTGAGTCTGTCCCTAATGGCCACTGATTTCCTCACTCAAGCCTATGGAATGAAGCCTCCAGAAAAACCCAGAAGGACGGGTTTGAGAGCTTGGGGTTGGTGGGCACCTGAAGGGTCTGGGACCGGGGTGCACCTGGAGAGGACCCGGAAGCCTCGTGCCCGTCCCCCGGGCCTTGCCTGGGCATCTCTTCCCTCCGGCTGCTCCCGACCTCCACTCTTTACAATAAACCGGTGATCCGGTCAGTGAACCGTTTCTCTGAGTTCTGTGAGCTACTCTAGCAAATGAACCCGACCCAGGGAGGGAGGGGGTCGTCGGAACCTCCAGTCTGCACCGGGTCGGTCACAGGCCCACCTGACAACCTGGACTTGTGACTGGCATCTGAAGGGAGGGGGCGTGTTTTGTGGGACAGGCTATTGACCTGTGGGGTCTGACACTCTCCCCGGAGACAGTGTCAGACTGAAGTTGACCTGTAGGGCACCCAGTCAGCCTCAGAGAACTGCCTGCTGGGAAAAGCCCACACATGGGGACTGGTGGCCGTGACGTCAGCTTCAAGGTGCTGTGAGCTCACACAGACCCTTCGTGCAAACGGGGGAGAACGTGCCCCTCGGGCGGGGGCAGCCCTGTGGGCACACGGCCTGGGGAACCTGCTCGTGCCCTGGGGAGGATGAGAAATCACATTCTTTCCTGGCCGGTGTGGCTCAGGGGTTGAGCACAGACCCTGCACCGAGAGGACGCTGGTTCGATTCCTGGTCAGGGCACCTGCCCAGGTTGTAGGCTTGATGCCTGGTAGGGGGCTTGCAGGAGGCCGCCGATCAATGTTTTTCTCTTTCACTGACGTTTCTCTTCCTCTTCCTTCCTCTCTCTCAAATCAATAAAAACACTTAAAAAAAATCGCAGTCTTTCCTCCTGCAGATGGACACCCGATGCCCCACTGGATCCCGTCCCTTCACCTCTCCCACAAGCGCTCTGTGCCCCACTGGATCCCGTCCCTTCACCTCCCCCCCCCCCGAGCGCTCTGTGCCCCACTGGGTCCCGTCCCTTCACCTCCCCCACGAGCGCTCTGTGCCCCACTGGGTCCCGTCCCTTCACCTCTCCCACGAGCGCTCTGTGCCCCACTGGATCCCATCCCTTCACCTCTCCCACGAGCGCTCTGTGCCCCACTGGGTCCCGTCCCTTCACCTCCCCCACGAGCGCTCTGTGCCCCACTGGATCCCGTCCCTTCACCTCTCCCACGAGCGCTCTGTGCCCCACTGGATCCCGTCCCTTCACCTCTCCACGAGCGCTCTGTGCCCCACTGGGTCCCGTCCCTTCACCTCCCCCACGAGCGCTCTGTGCCCCACTGGATCCCGTCCCTTCACCTCTCCACGAGCGCTCTGTGCCCCACTGGGTCCCGTCCCTTCACCTCTCCCACGAGCGCTCTGTGCCCCACTGGATCCCGTCCCTTCACCTCCCCCACGAGCGCTCTGTGCCCCACTGGATCCCATTCCTTAACCTCCCCCACGAGCGCTCTGTGAAAGAGCCCCCTGCGTGATCATTTGTGGGACCCTCACCCCCAGGCCTTTGCTGACCTCTCACCTTGGGGTGTTGGACTGCAGCTGGCCGTCCCTCTCAGGGTGTCAGGGCAGGGGCACACCCGGTGCTGCTGGTAGGTCCGTCCCTCCCTATCCCCCCGAGGGGCCCAGTCCTGGACCCTCTAAATTCCCCGGCTGACTTCAGGACACACCTCCTCCCACTGTCCCCACTCACGCACAGAGCAGAAGCAGCCATGCCTCCTTGCTCACCAGAATCCCTTTTTGGAGTCAAGAACAGCATGCCGAGCCCCGGGACCCACCAAATCGGAATTTCGGGGACACAGCCCAGGCAATGGTCCTTTCCAAAGCTTCCCAGGTACCCCTCGGGCGCTGTCACAGAACAGCACGGCCTGGGGCTTGCTTCCCGGGGGCTGGAGGATGGACGTTCAGCATCGAGGTTTCCGCAGACTATCTGGTGGGGGCCCACTTCCTGGCTCACAGATGGGGGTGCTCTCACTGTGTCCTCTCGTGCAGGAAGGGACGGGGGAGCTCTTGGGAGCCTCTTCTATAAGGTCACAAACCCCACCCATGATGGTGGACCCCGCAGGACCTAATCACTTCCAGAGGCCCCGTCCCCCAAAACCATCCCATTGGGGATGAGGATTTAACATGGGAACTGGTGGGAGACATGGACATTCGTCTGTAGCATCTGGGCATTTTAACGTGCCACCAAAGTGATGTCCTGGGGTCGCCGCCCCTGGCGCCCACATCGTCAGAGAGCACCCCTGGTCCCCGCTTCCATGGCTCCAGACACACCCCCCTCAACAGCAAGCATCCCGGTCAGCGCAGGGACAGACCATGTGCGTGTCCCCCGGCGGGTAGATGCTCAGTGGGGACACCCTCTTCTGAACAGGCTCTAGCGGGGGTCGCTCTCTGACGTACGGCTCCTTGTGGATTTTCCTCTGCAGTATCAAGGACAGGAAGATGGCCAACAGAATCAAGCCCAGGACCGCCATCAGGACGATGAACCACAGCTCGCTGTAGAACTCGGCGCCTCGGCCCCCGGCCCCCTTCTTCCCTCCCGGGGTGGTCAGCACCAGGCCTGCAGGACGGGGCGGAGGAGGGAGAGGTTACTCCAGGGGCGGGCCCCCACTCCCTGCCCCCAGCCCGGCAGTCAGCAGGAAGGACCGGGAAGCAGCAGCAGAGGGTCTCAGGGTGCTTGCTGGAGTCGGGCTGGGGGACCCAAGGAGGAGGCCACGTCCTCCTCGGAGCCCTGGCTGACGCCCAGTGGCTGAAGATCGCCGCTGCCTTGGCTCATCCTGGGAAAGGCAGCGGGAGGGGGCGAGGGATTTCGAAAGGGGGTTACCAAGGTAACCTTGAGGAAGCCTGCTTCACTGCAGTGCCCGGGGACTCTGGGGGTGGCCAGCCTCACTGACAGTCCTGCGGGGTGTCCACAGGGCACACAGTCAGTGCTGGGGATCCAGGTCCCCGAGCCTGCGGCAGCTGCCCTGCTCCTCACAAGCTGTGTGCAAACAGGCTTTGGACACGTCGGGTCGCGGTGCTCACTGCTACCTGTGGTCTTTCCAGTTCCTGCCCCGTGGCCGCATGGTCAGCAGCCGAGGCCCCGTAAGTCCCCCCTCAGGGCCCTGGAGGACTGGCCGTGGAAAAGTCCTTCGCGATGGGACACACCCTGGACCTGTGCACCTGTCGGGAGTTCAGCCAATGGGATTCTCCGCACAGGTGGCTGATGGGTGCCTCTCGTGTTTAGTGAGCACTGACCCTGTGCCAGGCCTGTGTGGGGCGTCACAGGACGAAGGAAGGGGGACAGGGGACCATCGAGACTGTGGCTGCGGGGACAGCGGGAATGAGCCGGGCAGATGGGGGAAAGGCTTGCAGAGGTCACCCCCAGGGGTCACTGCAGGGCAGGACACAGACTGAGCTGAGAGGGTCTCAGATCACCCCGCCTCCGTCCCCAGCTGCAGCACCTGCTGGCGGCCCAGAGGAGAAAGGACAGACAGACACAGCCGCAAATGCCTTGGACAAACGTCCCCCTTCTGAGCACCTCGACCACTGGGTAGGCCTGCTTGGCACGTCACACCCACATTCTAGGGGAGAAGTACAGGGGGGCGTTCAGATTGGGGTGAGGACTTTGAGGAGGGGGAGAAAGTCTCTAAAACGAAGATTTGAACCTCCTGAGAAGGAGGATATTACATGGTGACCCTGAAGTCCACTCTGGTAGCCCCATGGTTAAAAGAGTCACTTTGCCTCTCTGGGGTTCTGCCCCCCATCTCAAAAATGAAGAGTTGGGGTCCAAGCTCTGACCAAGCTCCAGCAGGTCCGAAGTGCCCCAATTAGGAGCTAATGTGTGTTATATTGTTGCAATAAAACCACCACCGTGGTCATACCCTCGAGAGGTTGAGTTCCTCTGTGCGCGGCACAGGGCTGCTGCGACTCCGGAAGCTGATCTGACGTCCCCAGCGGGCCCCTTGCTGGAGAGGACACAGGGAAGTGTAGGGCAGCCTGCCTGAGGGAAGCCCCGGGAAGGAAGCAGCCCCCAGAACGGCAGGAGGGCAGGGAGCCGTGCCGGGCCTTCCGGCTTGAAGGTTGCCTTCGGGTACGGGGCCAGCAACACTGAAAAAGTTATGTCATAAAAATTGAAACTGACAATGCACACGAATTGGACGGTGCATCTTGGACTTTTCCATAACTCTGCACGGTCCTCAGTGTCCCTCTTTCATCGGTGGAAACCTGTCCTTTCCAAGTCCCCTTTCATTTGAGGGGACTCCACCCCTCAGTGGGTTTCGGTCAGCGTGGGGTCCCGGACCACTGACTCGGGCTTGTTGCCGGGGCCGTCCTGATTCTGCATCTGTGAAATAGGCCTGGGAGGTGATTCTTCTACAAACCTACATTTGAAAATCAGTGCTTAAAAAAGATAAAATAAAATAAAGTACTCTGTTGGCCAGAAACCCACAGCAAAACCCCGCTCACATTCTCATCGTAGGCGTGAGCCGGCGGAGCATTCTTGGGTGAGTTCTGGGGTCCCCCAGGCCCCCCTCTGTCCACTGAGAAGACACTGGAGTTGCTAAAATCACATCAGATCAGGTCTGCTCGATTCCGGCCGTTACTAAATAAAAGCAGACAGGCTCCGCAGGGGGAATTGTGTCGGTGCTGGAAGGACTTTTACGTGGCATCCAGACCCGCAAAGTCTGGATACAATAACTAATTTTATCATTTTACATATTGAAACTATTCTTGATGATAATATGTATGTTCACCTACATTTCAGAATTTTTGGACATGTGTATTAAAAATAAAAGCAACTATGGCCTGGCCGGTGTGGCTCACTGGTTGAGTGTTGACCCCTGCACCAAGAGGTCGCCGGTTCAACTCCCGACAGGGCACATGCCCAGGTTGTGGGCCAAATCCCCAGTGGGGGGCATGCAGGAGGCGGCCAGTCGATGTTCTCTCTCATCAATGTTTCTATCTCTCTCCCTCTAAAAATAAATAAGAAAAATAAAATTTTAAAAAGCAACTATGTATGCATACAAATGTGATATAACATCATTAACTGGACTTTAAAACAAGGTTATCAGTTCCAATTCTGTTCTAACGGAAAAGATGTAGCATTTCTCGTAATGTGCCCTGTAACACTGTTAAGCGTCACAGTTAGATTCAAGATTGTGGGTAGAACTCAAGTTAAAAGATGCTCCATAAAAATTAACATTTCATCTCTTCAGCTACATTACTCGGTGTTCATAGTTGGTCATCGTCTTTCACGGAGGGCCTAGGACAGGAATTTCCCAAGGTCACCATCTCAGGCTCTGACTCTGGAATATTATTATCGTTATGATCAACAGGAATTGGTACTCGAGCCGTTTCTCTCTTCTTTGAGCTCTTTCCTCTGATGTTCTCTATAAATCATTTATTTGGGGAAACACAGTCATATATGTAGGTCTTTTTTGACAGAATCTGTGGGTAGGGGAGATGTTTTGTCATTTCTATGTGCCTACAAGTCAATGATTCGGTATTTTAAGTGTCCTCCTGGCTCTTTGCCTAATGTCAGTTCCATGAGGACTGTGAAGATTTCGTGCAACACTTCACACAATTCCTGCCCGTCGCTTCTGCTCATGTACCAGGGCACGTGTGCAGAACATACACATGCACAGAACATATGCACATGTACAGAACAAACATAGGCACGTGTGCAGAACATACACACATGTGCAGAGCAAACATACTCACATGTATAGAACAAACAGGCATGTGTGCAGAACATGCACACACGTGCAGAGCAAACATACGCATGTGTGCAGAACATACACACATGTGCAGAGCAAACATACGCATGTGTGCAGAACATACACATATGTATGCAGAGCAAGCATACACATGAGTGCAGAGCAAACATGCGCATGTACAGAACACACACGTGTGCAGAGTAAACACACATGTGTGCAGAACATATGCACGTGTGCAGAGCAAATATACGCATGTGTGCAGAGCAAATATACACACGTGTGCAGAGCAAACATAAGCACGTGTGCAGAGCAAACGTACACATGTGTCTTTAGAAGAAGGAGCGGGCGCTGCTCCACACGCCACGCGAGGGAGGGAAACGCTTACCGAGTCCAGTGGCGGTGTCGTATTGGATCACAGGCGTCCTGACGCTTCCTTCCTCCGTGGAGCACGTGACCTGGAACAGGAAGGCTGGACAGAAGGTAAGGGGCTCGGTCACCCAACACCCACAGACAGCCAGCACACTTTTAGAACAACGGCCACAGTGTGAAAAAGTCTGAAGACAGAATTCCAGGGCTAAGGGTGGGGTTTTACCTGACACCCACTTATTCTAATGTTATCATTATCGAGCTATAATTGGTGCAATGGCTTATATCTTAGTAATAGAACTGAAGACGCTGAGAACTTTCACAACGAAGGGAAGGAATCCCCAGAGGAGAAAGGGTGATGCACGGCGTGCACCTTGTTCTGCACACGGTCTATACCTGTTCCTGCAGAACACACAGGTGGACCTTCACGAAGTGACCCAGAGCTTCTCCTGGGCAGGAGAGCTCAAAGGGATCACGCAAATCAAATGATCTGAATGCTGCTTTCAACAGCCAGCAACCAGGGGGCAGCGGCCCTACATGTCCACGCAGACGGTCAGTGGCCAGGACCCCACGGTCGGGCCAGCTTCCCGTCACAACCAGCTGCCCGGGCGACCAAGCACTGTGACCACGAAAATGTGCAGCCCGGCTGTTGTAAAAACACTGATAACTTTCAAATGCCACACATGCAACGCCGGGGCTCCCTGATGGCGCTGTCAGCCAGAATAGACAGTGTTTTCAAGGAAATGGGAAACAGAAACACACTAATTAGTTCATCACGTAATGCAGATTGCTTAAAATGGTTCACCTGGATCATTAGAAGATACTTTACACCTTGTAAAACTCTTCCGCTTCTCAGTTGGAAAACAAGACTGGCCCCGGCAAGGCCGTGATTAAACAGGAGGGAGAATTCAGTGTCGGAGGGAAAGGGTGGTGTCTAGGACAGACACCAGGGAGGTTAAGGGAGCCCCTCCTCCGGGTCCCCAGGAGCCGGGGCCACTGCCTCGTCCGGCTGCGCTGGAGGCTGCAGACACAGTGGACACGTGACGGCCCGTGGGCATGATTCCTCTTGTGACACAACCTGCCCTGTGGCCTGGTTCCTTTCTGGGGACACTCAAGTCACTGGGGGGCAGCCCTCTCCCGCACTGTGAGGTCAACGCTCAGGCGGCAAGTAGGAAGGAAAATCTTAGCCACTCCGAGCAGTCACTTCGCCACCAGAAGTGGCCACTTCAACTAGGACACTGTAATGGCGAGCCCCCTCTGGCCACCGCTCGGAGTGACCCTCAAGGGCCACCAGGGAACCGGGCGCCTTCCACACGGAGAAGCAAAAGGCAGGCACTCACTTCTGTCGGCCGTCCTTGGGATGTACAGGCTGGTGTCCCGGCCGCGGTACACGCGCTCGCCTCCATCGCTCAGCGTAAACTCCCTCAGCGGGCCGTTCAGGAGGAAAGAGTCACTCCAGTTGACACACACCACGGTCAAGTTGCTGGTCACCGAGAACGGGGCTCGGTACTGAGGTCCTGCGGGAAGGAGCTGCATGTTACGGACACGGGCACCTCTGAGTGCGTGCGCGTGTGCGTGTGTGTGTACCTTTTAAAAATATATATGACCAACAACATCTTGTTTTGGTATTGCCGGAATCCTTTATATTGTCCTCAGCGTTTTCAAAAAACGGGCCCCGGAGGAGAAAAGAACACCAGTGGGAACTGTGGGTGATGTTTTCTCAGCAATATTGCACCTGCTCTTCCCCCAAAATCAATGGAGAGTGGTGTTTTATGAAACAAAACTACTCACATACAATGGTTCGGCTCCCCGACATAACCCTGGAGCTCATATTTTGTTGCTTTTCCCCTCTTTTAACAGGTAAAGTATCCTTAACACTATTAACTACACGAGATAGCTATTTTTCATATCAAATCAATATTTATTGCTCTAAAGCCCCAAGGACTAGATGAAGTTAATATATATATATTTTTTTCTCCAAACCCAGCTGCAGAGATGGTGAATTATGTCTGCATGGCACCCATTTATTTTTAAAGCTTTTTCTTGAACCATTAGTTTGTTTTCCAAGAATGTTAAAGAGCCTTCGAATAGTGATGCGAGGATAATAACTCATTGCCCTCGCTAATCAATCAGGGGCGCAGTCCATCAGTACACAATCAGGCTCGGGTCTCCTAAGTGTTCTCCCTGATACAGAAGCGACATTGGGAGCATTTCGCAGGCACGATTCTCCTTTTGCATTTTAGCTCCTTGCTTTAAACAAAGGAGAAAGAATCTTTAACGGAGGCTCATCTTTTATTTATTATTTTTTAAGTTTTTTTTTCCCTTTATTGGTTTTAGAGAGAGAGGATGTGAGAGGGAGAGAGAGATACAAACATCGATGAGCGAGAACATCGATTGGCTGCCTCCTGCATGCCCCCCACTGGGGATGGGGCCCACAACCTGGGCATGTGTCCTGACCGGGATTTGAACGGACGACCTCTTGGTGCAGGGTCGACGCTCAACCCCTGAGCCACACTGGCGGGACGAGGCTCATCTTTTCAACGAATAATTTTTTGGAGAAACACATGAAGGAATCCCATATCACCGTATCAAGGCAGGAGAGATTTATTTCATGAGATCGTCTTTTCTCCAAAATAATCAATACATTTGCAACAGCGCTAAGGTCCACCTATACACTAAATCGGCTTTTAAGAAAAGAGAGAAGCGAGCATTGGAGATACACTGGCTATCCTCTTCCAAAATGACATCCGTCCGGCACTCCCCGCTCTTCAGGGCTAGCCTCACCCACCCCCCTCTTAAGGTCTCTGGCTTATGGTGGCGGCCGCACCTGCTCACCTTCTCTCTGGGTGGTGAAGGTGGTCCATTCAGAGGCCGCAGTGCCCGCCTCGTTGTGGGCCAAGACTCTCAGCCTGTAGGTCGTATAAGGCTGGAGATCCCCCAGGCTGGCGTTCAGCCCTGGCCCCCTGTACCTCGTCTCGGGCTGGCTGGGGGTGCAGGGCGCGTCTGCACGGGGAGGGCATGTCCTGTGCAGCCGGAGCTCGTAGCTGGAAGAATACACACACATCCAGAGAAAACGGGCTGCGGAATCCGTTTAACTCTCTTGGAAAACTAGCTCTATTTCGCAGGAAGAGCTTTTGTTTTCACTGAACTACAAGCTCTTCGAAATTCCCGTTCGCGGGCTACTGCTCCCAGACACAGTTTATTTGATGCCGTTAGAAACGAGCGGCAGGAATGGTAAGAGAAGCCACATAAATACCGGTGTTGCTGTCCACCCCCCGACTAGCCATCCCTGTTGGTAGAGATGAGCTATTTCTCTGTTTTTAGAGGAGACGGATCCAATGGTTCTCCTCTGCTGAAAACAGAAAATCTTTTTCCTCCCGATTATTTCGAGTGAAAGAACTTCTTTGTTCTTTCAAACAGTGGTTCATTTTAACCTTTTAAATTAGATCAAGGAAATTCTGATTGAACCCCAGAATGTCCCTTCCCAGCGGAGGCTGCAGAATGGATCATCCAAGAGCCACGAGGAGGAGCAAATTCCTTCAGTGGGTGCAAACACGTGGCATCGTCTTTCTTATACAGTGATACCTCGGTTCTCGAACATAATTCGTTCCAGGAGGACGGTCGAGAACCGAATTGTTTGAGAACCGAAGCAATGAAACCCAATAGGAAATAATGGAAACTGGATTAATTCGTTCCAAGCCCCAGAAAATGCCTATTTACTGGCCTAATTTGTATATAATATGTAGAAAAACATAAGTCTCAACAAGAAATAAAAGTGTACAGTATGTCTAAGGGTTAAATTCAGTGTAAAGCGTGACTCTCTCCACACAGCGTGACTCTCTCTCTGCACTCACACTGATGACGCGAGCAAGGCGCGCTGGGCCGAATGAACGCCATTCGGCTCAACTCGGCTCATCTCGGAAGTTCGAGTTCCAAATATTTGTTCGGATTCCGAGACAAAAGTTTCTCGAATCTCCTGGTCGAATACCGATTTGGTCGAAATCCGAGGCGTTCGAGAACCGAGGTATCACTGTATTTAAAGCCGATTTTGTGGTCCTCCTTTCTAGCCTTAGCTGATACTGTGATTTAAACACTTTGTTGGGGATATTGCCACTGAACTGCACAGACCTGGTCAGTTTGCTCTGGGTACTTGTTCAACCAGCAAGTCCTTCTAGAGGGGAGCTGGCTATGTCTGGACACCTGCCGTGTTCTGGGTTATTTGTCCTTCTGGCTGGCCAATTACCTTTGGATGACACCGTTGGGGAAGAGGGGGGGACGCCACTGGATGGAGGCTGTCCTTGAGGCCAGCGTCTGGATTTGGGGGGAGGACAGGCCCCGGGGTGGCGCGGGGTGTGTCCTCAGCTCGGCCACCGGCCCTCGGCTGCAGCAATGGGAACAGGTACAGGCCTCCACCCCGATGACGTAGGAGGTGAAGGGCTGCAGGCCGTGGAGGGTCTGCTGGGGGGCTGTGCCTTCCGACAGCTGCAGGACAGAGAAGACCCGATGAGGCCAGGTCCCAGACCTCGGGCCAGTGACACATCTGCATCAGCTACCCCACCTGCGGCGACTCGGGCACCACCAGGTGGTCTGGGAGATGCACGGTGGACGCAGCCCGTATTTACCCTGCAGGAAGGAACCGACCCAGGACGGGCATGACGGAGACAGGCACAAGCGTACAGATTCCTCGGACGGAAGTCGAGGTGACAGGACGGATAGCGCCAGGCCGTCACTGTCCATTACCTTCGAAGGAAATGAGAAAACGGCACCAAAGCACAAAATACTGGCCAAACTCTGTGACCCTCAGAGAAACTGCCTTTGATACAGGTAGTTCAGTGGATTATAGTGATAGTGGAAGGCTGAAATGCAGAATTTTTTAAACGCGGACCATTCTGTAAAGAAAACCATAATGTCTTCAAATCACTCTTCTGTAAATAGATGGTCGTTTTGCAGAGTTTCCCCTTAAATAAAATAGAAAACGATGATGCCTTTTTAAAAAAGAAAATCTTATTTGAATTATATTCCTTGTCAACATGCAGTGAAATCCATATTCTGCCATTGTTATATGCATATCATTTTGAGGTCAAAAAGCCCTTCAAATCCATGTTAGAGTTGGGTATTTAAGATCTTAAAATCAAAATTTCATATATTTGTATATTGTATATAGTTTAGGTATATTTAAGAGATTGGTAGTCCACCTTTTTCTTGGAGGGTGTCAAGTATGTGAAATATCACATTCCTTTTCTCAGTTTATCCTTGTTACATTATAAAGTTTCTGGTTTCTTTGGAGCCAAAAAAAATATGTATTTTTTTTTTACCTCGTTGTGGTTTGATTAACTCCTCTTTGGAACAGAAGCCTTCAGAAACTGGAAACTAATTTTCACATTGACATACACAACATATAATTAAGAAGAACTACCCGTTATTGAAAAAAAAATTGCATACAATGCACTACAAATATAAATTATCTTACTTTATTAATATTATCATTGTATAAGCATGGATAATCAAGGGCTGATTGTATTTACATCATCTATATTTATTGACTACGAAGCCCTGTAGGAAATATGCTAATGTCCCTTTAACATTCAGCGGGAGACCTCCCTTGCATCTGAGAGTTGTCCTGCGAACTGGGTGCTCCGGCCTCCACATGTGTCCAAACTGTTCCCTAAATTGGTCTAAATCACTTATAATGTAATCCGGGGATCTGTATTTTCTCCAAGTCACCCAAAGAAAGACTGAAATTCCAGGGTGTTACCAGAGATTTTTCAAATGTCAAATCGAGGATTCCAAGGATATTCTTTGCTCTATTTTTTCTTTTTCAGAGTAACATTTACTCCATCAACAATGGCCTGTCTGCCCCTTACTATCGGCCGCTACTGCATCAAGCCTTGGACCGGCCTTTGATGACTGAATCCATTTGATTTTATTATCCCTGAAGTCTTCGGTTTCTTACGACATTTGTGGAGTCTTTAATACGACCTCTAGCAATTCTACCCATGAGCATTTCCATATTTTCTGTATCTGTCTTAACGCTCATCACTATGTCTTCACATAGAGTCCATTGTGCCACTAAGTTCACCACACGGCCACTGAGAACAGGTGGATGAGAAACAAGGAGCAAGGAGAAACAACAGCAAGGGTATCCCAGTTTATTTGAAAAGAAAAGCAAAGCAACCAGTCCAGGACTGTCAGTTCAGGGCAGTCTGCTACTCACCACCACCGCCACCCCGCCGGGGTCGCCGGAGAACACTCTGTAGAGACTGACGACGCCATTGGGCTGCCTGGGGACACTGATGTTGACCACGGCTTGGGTGGAAGACACCGCATGGAACCGGGGGGCCTTGAGGCCTTCTGGGGGGGCAGGTCCAGTTCTACACCATGTCCAGTTACTGGAAGCTTTTCCGGCAGAATTCACTGCCCAGACCTTCCAAGAGAAATCAGTAAGACTAGTCAACAGCAAGACCATCTCAGGCTGAAAAGCCGTTGGCAACCCACTGCGACCGGACACAACAGAACGAGACACACTTTGGTTCTGCAACTATGTCATCACCAAGGAAATTGGCTCTTCCTCTTTTTTTTTTTTTTGCCTTTGCCGGCATGAACACAGAGGGGCCGCTGGGGAACCCTAGTTTCGGAAGGCAGCAGCTGATTTAAGCCTGATGAAAACTACCCATCTCTGGGCCGGAGGTGGGGTGATTTTTGTCGGCTTCTGCAAACCAGTGACTCTACAGACTGCTTGACGCTCAGCAATTCTTAAACACCGTCCACGCAAATCTGCATAAAAATTAGATTTTCCTTTCATCAAGGAGGCAATAAACATATGGAAGAAAGTATAATCTTATTTATCAAGAACTATTTGTATAATTAAACACGAATATCCTAAAAGGTTGCCTGAGGTCATCATTTGCATGAGTAAGTAATTTGTAGAATGTCAGGTACAATAGACAGAGGAGATGGATGTGTGAGTGTATAGGGTTAAATTAGGCCCAATAACAGCCAACCACACCGTGATCAATCAGAATGATAGATCTAAATGACAATACAAGAAGACTGTCTGCGTGTCTAGGAGTACCAGTATTCCTTAGTAAGCTTTGATCTTGTGTAGTCTAACTCCAGAAATTATTTTTTTCTCAACTGGTGTCTTCTGTCTGTCTATCTATCTATCTATCTATCTATCTATCTATCTATCTATCTATCTATCAATCTATCTATGCACCTATCTATGTGTCTATGTATCCATCCATCCATTCATCCATCCATCCATCCATCCAGTTATCCAAACTTGACCAGAGCTTTTGAAGACACAGCTGGAGAACTTGTTTGATCCTACAGTCCATACTTTCTAAAAAACCATGCAGAACTTTCAAAATCTGAGACATTTAGGAAAAAATGTAGGAGAATACTCTGCAGTGAGAGTTTTGTTTCATTTTTGTTTGCTTTGGCATCAATAATATCTTTGAAACTTTTAGGCCAACTCCTCTGAGTGTTTCCACACTTTGGGGGTGGAGGGATCCCTTTGGGGAGTAAAACGTCAGGTGCTGAATTGCTCCCGGGTTGCTGTCTGGTGCGAGTCCCCAAGCCCTTGCTGACAGCATCACCAGAAGCCCCAAACTTCTAAGAGAGGACTAACCCACTTACAGGCTGGACCTGCTCGTTTTAGAGTTCTGCTGCAGCCTCTCATCATTCGCATAGAGATGACTTGCATGTGTACACGCTGCACACTTTACAAAGCACATTAGCTGGCTGATTTAGTCCTCCCAACACCACCGTGCAGGGTGGCTGGAGAAAGCATCAGTAGCCCACTTTCACAGGCGAGGAAACCGAGGATCCAAAAATGTCCCTCTCTCTCATTCAAGGTGACGGAAGTTACAGGACCTGCACGGAATTCTCTCTGATAAACACTTAAAAAAAAAAAAAAAATATATATATATATATATATGTATGTGTGTATATATATATATACACACACACATATATATATGTTTTTATTGATTTCTCACAGAGAGAGGAAGGGAGAGAGAGACAAAAACATTGATGTGAGAGAGATACATGGATCAGCCGCCTCCTGCACGCCCCCCACTGGGGATCGGGCCCACAACCTGGGCATGTGCCCTGACCAGGAATCGAACCGATGACCTCTTGGTGCATAGGTCGATGCTCAACCACTGAGCCACACCAGCCGGACTCACCGTATTTCTTTAGAAATCCTCTCTTCTAAAAATGGGCCAATAGGAAACTCCACACCCTAGCTGGCAATATGTGGAGGAGCTAGTATCTTTGTCTTTGACAGGAGACCTTCAGAATCTGGTGCTCAATTTCCCCTAGTCTTTCTTTTCAGTATTCAATCAATTTGAGATCAAAATAGCATTCATATAAATCAACATGCTTATGCAAAGCAGGATCAGCCTATTTACATGCACCGCTCTGAAAATGAAAGCAGTTACAACCAAGACAAAGCCGACTGAGATCATGAGCATGATGGACTCCACACAACTGGAACCATGAGGCAGTGTTTCTGTTTCACCAAACCACCGAAAGAACAGGGGGACAGACAGTGACATTGTCCCCGCCTCTCCCTGCGGAGGTGCACACTGCTGTGGACTTTTGTCTTCGCCCAGCTAAACAAGAGAGAAAGGAACTGAGTGTAGTTCATTGTTCAGAATAAAAATGCAAAGAGGTTATGCTTATGATTTCCACTGAGAGACAATGGCCTCAAGTTTGGGGTCCATCTTTATGGAATGGGGCAAGAAGCAGCAGAGATCTTACATGGGAAATTTGGGGCAATGTGCCCTGATCTTTTCATTTGAATGAATCAGTACAGAAATCATGAAACAAATATCTTATTAACAGACATAGATTTGCCTACTTCATCTAGCTTCTATTTTATTCATCTATTCTATTCATTCTATCCTATCCTATCCAATTCATTCTATTCTATCCATTCTATTCTACTAGGTCTATTCAATCCATTCTGTTCTACTTATTCTATTCTATTCTATCCTATCCTATTCATTCTATTTATTCTATTCTATCCATTCTATTCTATTCATTCTGTTCTATCCATTCTGTTCTACCTATTCTATCCTATCCTATCCATTCTATTCTATTCTATCCATTCTATTCTACTCGTTTTATTCAATCCATTCTGTTCTACCTATTCTATTCTATTCTGTTCTGTTCTATTCTATTCTATTCTATCCTATCCTATCCATTCTATTCTATTCTATCTATTCTATTCTACTTGTTCTATTCAATCCATTCTGTTCTACCTATTCTATCCTATCCTATCCTATCCATTCTATTCTACTCATTCTATTCTATTCTATTCTATTCTATTCTATTCTATTCTATTCTATTCTATTCTATTCTATAAACCTACCTACCTTTTACCTAACTGATCAGCCTGTTCTTTGATTTGTATCCCAAGATTCCCTCCCATGACCAGTGGGAACATAGAATGGTTGCAGACTGCTCATAGGATAAATGGAACATTACAGGGGAGGAGGGTGAAATAGGTTTATGAAGTCCATGGCCAAGAGAAAAAAAAAGTCAGGATACCTCACCTTTGATTTATTCAGAGTATCCCTATACCTGTAGTATCTTGTTGAACATATTCACTCTTTCATAGTGGAAAAAAAATGATTAAAGTTTCCACTAAAACAACTTATTATTTCGGTTCAGCAAACACTGTATATATGAATGTGTATACACCCCCCACACACACACATACACAAGCACACAATCATCACTGTAGAGGATGGAACTTCCCAATGAAGTGTCCTTAACAATGACAGCAAGTCTAGGGCTGGGTGAGTTGGGGTCCTTTCTTTTCGGTTGTGACATGAAGAGAGTTACAATGTCAGAAGATGTCCCCAAAAACATAGCTAACCATTTGATTACATACAAAATAACTGAAATCATTGAACCGCAGATCCTACAGCTGACTAGTGAGGTAGAAGATTCATTTTTGTTTTCAATCTAAATTAAGAAAAAAATCCAACTAGTGACCATTACCATCTTCATGCTATTGTCCATTAAAATATAAATTCTTTTTTATTGACTCTCTCCTCCCCCAAGGACTAATTAACTCCATTTTGCCTTAAAAATGTTTAATTACATAAAGTGCTAGCATCTGTCAGCAAACTGCCGTAATCCACTGCCGTGGACACAATGGGTGTTGTTTGTCCTCTGTCCTAATCGGCCTCTTAGAAATCTTCCTTCAGAGAGGTCGGTCAACGCGTTCCCTGCCTACAGTCAAAAAAAATCATTTTGGGCCCTGGCCAGTGTTGTTCAGTGGTTAGAGCATCAAGGGCATGTGCCTGGGTTGCAGGTTTGATTCCCTGCCCCAGTTGGGGTCCTGCTGGAGGTAGTCAATCAATGTTTCTGTCTCTCTCTCTCTCCCTCTCTCTCCCTTCCTCCCTCCCTTCCACTCTCTTTAAAAAATCAATGAAAATATATCCTTGGGTAAGGATTAACAGCAACAAAAAATCATTTTCGGTGCCTATATCATACTTTCTGGTGAAAACACCTCGGGACCTGCCTTTTCAACAGTCCCATGGGCTTCCTGGGCCCCATCCTGGTCGAGAAACACAGAGGACTTTTGCTACAGAGCCAAGCACAGAAGTCTAGGCACTATCTACATCCTTCCGTTTCTATTCCTCTGGTCCCTGTTTAGAGTTGTGCTTCGCATTCCCTTCGACACGCCCTTCTGTCACTCAACTAAGCCCGGAGCGGCATCCGTTTGAACACGTTACGGTGGCAATAATCCTCCCAGAGTTGATCACAGAGGCCCCCGTCCCCAAGGCAGACAGAGGTCATCCGCTCAGCCCAGCAACCATGCCCCCACCCAGCTTTCCCTCTAGGTGCAAATGCCTTGAAACACTGATCTTTCTGGGACATGTTCAGTCTCTTTACCCCTGTAGCCCAGACGAACATTACTCTAAAATCCCCTCAGTGTCTCTCAACCCAACCCTTCTACTTTTATTCCAGAAAGAAAGCAAGTGTTTGTGAACCGAACCATTAGTAAGAAGTTGATAAAAGAGAAAGAGAAGAAACCACACCTCGGCAGCGGGTGGGAGAAGGGGAGCCCTATGGGAAACCCTTCCAGAATGGAGGCCCGTTGGGGACTTCGGTGACCGGACATGATTCTCCCACAATTCCCACCCGTCACGGATAGTTTCCACTGGGATGCTCTGTCTCACTCCAGGGTTCGTAGCTTCCCGAAGTAACATTCTCTAGGACTGATACTTCAAGTGTGGCCTTAGGACAAGGAGAAACTCTTAATGTAAACTCCCAAGGGAGTCCTCGTGTGTTTTTCTTTATCATACTCTAGAAAAAAAAAAAAAAAAAGATCTCCTTTAATTGTAAAAATATTGTTCGGTTCCTTTGGCGGAAGCCATGCTACAAGTCTTGGTAAAGACAAGG